CAACCTAGAGGATGTAGCAGAGCAGAAATGAAATGCAGAATAAATGTTTCACTATTCATACTTTCCTATTCAAAATTCAGTTTAGTGTTAAATGGGCACACCACTGGATAATAAGAAAAAAATAAAAACCAACATGAACCCTGATTTTAAAAAAGTAGGGAGAGCATATTGATGAAAGAAAAAGAAGCATGCAGGTATAGCTGGATCTGGGAGATGAGTCCTCGATGCTAAACTGCCTAAGCCTGATTCAGTTGTAATAGCGTGAACCCCTGCAGAGTTTTGAGAAAGAAACTGACATGATATAAATGCTGCTTGAGAAAAACTAGTAACTAAACGTAAAATGGATTGGAAGAGAAAACATAAAATGTTGAAAGATAACTAGAAACCTGGTAGAAGAGGAATCCACAAGATTTAGTGACTATCTGTAGGGGATGAAGGAGCTGAGGAGTCAATGATTAAGAGGAAACGATGGGCTGGTTTGGGAACAGGTGGTAAAGGGCAGTTGGTGACCATGGCAGTATTATTTATTGAAAACCAAAGACATAGTTTAGTTACACTCCAAAAGAGGTGTGTGGGGGGTGGGGGGAGTACTGCTTAAATAATGCTTTGTTTCATAGGGGAAATAAGAGAACATAAGAGTATTTTCCTTTAATCTTGGCCTCAATGCCAAGGCCTGTACTTCCTAATAATTCAATTCAGGAGAGTCTGAGAATTACAACATGGCAAAAGAAAAAGTCATAAAAGTAACTCATTGATTTGAGGGGCGCCTGGGTGGCTCAGTGGGTTAAAGCCTCTGCCTTCAGCTCAGGTTATGATCTCAGGTCCTGTGATAGAGCCCCGAATCGGGCTCTCTGCTCAGCAGGGAGCCTGCTTCCTCCTCTCTCTCTGCCTGCCTCTCTGCCTGCTTGTGATCTCTCTCTCTCTGTGTGTCAAATAAATAAATAAAATCTTTAAAAAAAAAAAGTAACTCATTGATTTAATGTAAAAGGTTACAGATCAGGTGAATCATAAGATAGGAAATGAAAGTGGAAGGCCTTATGCAGACAGGATATGACTTACTGAAAATCCAAAGAGCCTAGATCCAGTCCTGAAGAGAAGGAAAAATGTGTAACGTTTCTCATTTTTGTTTGCTGGATAACATTTGAGAGAGGCTTCTTTTGTTCTTGGATCATTTTTAAGCCAGCAAAGCCCATCAGTTCAAGTCTGGGTGATCTGAAAGTCACAGCAAAGGAAGAATCAGTATCTTGCACATAGCAGGCATTCAGTAAACATTTGTAGAATGAAGAAATGAAGGATTTTCAGGACTCAGTCAGTATGCATGAAGTGTGAAAAGAATCAGGAGAACCAAATCCAGTAGCAAAGTAGAAACAGGCTAGAGTCCATATACTGCAATTCACTGAAAGCCAAACCACTATAGAAATGAAAAATGGGTGAGTCTCTGGTTTGGTTTGGTTTATAATCCCTGAGAGCTCTTTCCTTTTTTCCTGGTTTCTTTTCAAGGTCAGAATCACCCTCTACAGTTCAGATCTGGATAAAAAAGGAAATTGGTTAGGTGCCTATGTGGCTCAGTTGGTTAAGCAACTGCCTTTGGCTCAGGTCATGATCCTGGAGTCCCAGGATCAAGTCCTGCATCTGGCTCCCAGCTCCACAGGGAGTCTGCTTCTCCCTCTGACTTTCTGCTCTCTCATGCTCTCTCTCACTGTCTCTCTCTCAAATAAATGTCTCTTTTTTTTTTTTTAAAGAAAGAAATTGATTAGTTATGGCAAAAGCAAAAAACTTGAGGCTTCTCAACTCTAGTGATCTTGTCCAGGACCAGCTATGAAAGCCAGGATCTCATGGGAGCAGAATTAGTTTTACTTTTTTCTCCTCAAAAAATTCTGACCAAAATGTTTGCATTTGACAGACCAAGTGATATTTCTCAACAGTTGTTCCAAACCTTTATCACTCTCAACTCCCTACTGCATATTGCTCTATTTTGCACTCAGCAGAGCACCTAACAGTTCTGCTTAATCTAGATATAAGGTTATAACCTTCCAGATAGGAGCTATACCAAGAGGAAGGCCAAGCTCCAGATTCTTGGCTTGGTCACTTTTCTAGGGCCTGGCTAACTCAATAAGCTGTTTATCTTCAGTCTCTCTCCGCCTGCTCCTGTCCCTGATTATTGACATACTTGTGTTTCCTCTATGCTAGAAAATTCCCTTCCTTTTTCCTCTCCACCACCAAACTTCTTAGAAGCTTTTACTTCCTACTTTCAACTTTCTGACCTTCCTTCCCAGCTTTCATTCCCACCATGGTACAGAAAACTGCTCTGGCAAACGTCACTAAAAACATGAATGATAGGGGTGCCTGGGTGGCTCAGTGGGTTAAAGCCTCTGCCAGGTCATGATCCCAGCCAGAGTCCTGGGATTGAGCCCCGCATCAGGTGCTCTGCTCAGTGGGGAGCCTGCTTCCTCCTCTCTCTGCCTGCTGCTCTGTCTACTTGTGATCTCTCTCTCTGTCAAATAAGTAAATAAAATCTTTAAAGAAAACATATGAATGATAATATAAGAGGTCTTCTTTGAATCCTATTTGAATTATCTGCAGTGTTAGGCTCTGTGGAGTACTTCTTTCCTGGCCTCTGAGATACCACTCCTTTATTTTTATACCTCTGTGGACAGTTTAACTCATTCATTCCTCAAATTCTGCCCATCTCTGAAATTTAGGCATTTCTAAAGTTTCTCCCCTTGAGTCCCTTCTTATGCCAACACCCTCCCTCCCTGCTCCCTAGGCTTCAGGTATTGCCTGAATATTCCCAAATCCTCATGTCCCTACTCCTGAAGCCCTCTCTCAAATAAGCACAGGTTAATTAGAAAATAAGCCACTCCAAGAAGGACTTCACTCATGTTATCTCCACTAATCCTGACATTTCTTTGCTGACAGGAAAAGAAAAGTTAGGGGAAAGGATGATAAACCCTGTTACAGACCCCTTGGCATGGGAGACAGACCTCCCCTCAACTACACATACCAATCCTCTAAATACTAACAGGAGGAGAGTCTCTGTGCAGACACTACGTCTCCTCCCAAGAATAATGAGGTGGTGCTAAAGTCAACTGCAGTAGTAGCTTCTAGAAGGAAGAAGCGTTGGAAGTGCCACATGGATGTTTCAGTTTGATTTTGAACTTGGAGGGTGAGAGGAGTTTGAGACTTTAGTTATCTGAGACCCAGCTTGCAGGGAGTTCCCAAGTCCCACCCTTCTCCAGGTGTGGACAGTGTAGAAGACTGGGAAATTGCTGGGAGAGAGGAGAGAGGGGATACCTTCTAGGATCTAACAGTCTCCTCCTAAAGTTCCTGAGGCATCACAAACACAACTGCTCTGGAACTGATCTCGTCATTCTGCTTCTACTACCATTTTGTTAACAACATCACTTTTCACCCTCTTGACTTAGATGGAAACTTCTGTTACTGGGGATTCTTCCCTCTCTAGCAGTGCCCCATTCAGTTCTAAGAGACCTCCCTCCAGACTGGCTCCTTTCAATGCTGGACCAGCTCCTACTATCTCCATACCTCTAGTCTCTACCCCATCCAATCCATGTGTCCTGCTGTAGCCAGAGGGACCTTCCCAGAACATTATTGGTCATTCCTCACCTCTTTTCATTAAAACCCCCACTGACAACATTTAGGCTTTTAGTGGGGCATATGAGGTCCTTTGCAACCTACCTTGACCTGTCTTCCATTTTCATCACTGGTGACTCCTTCCCTCATTCAAGCATCAGTGGGCTCTTTGCAGCTTTTCAAACATACTTTGTTAAGTACTAAGTGCCAGCTATGATCCAGGCACTAATCTAAACTTTGTAATACAGTGAGCAGGAAAAAAAGGCCCCTGGTCTCATGCAACTCACATTTTAGTAGGAAGAGCCAGTGAATAAACAAGATAATTTCAGATAGTGATATGGGGCTATGAAGACAATTAAATGGAGGTATTAGAGGGGTGGGTCGGCTCCTTTAGTGCTCAGGAAGGAGCTGGGAAGGTTAACAGTTGATCTTGAATGACAAGCAGGAGCCAGACAAGCAAAGACCTGGTATAGAGTATTTGGGGCCATTTGACCAGTGTGTGACAAAGGCCTTGAGGCAAGAACTAGCTTGGGCACTTGGCATTTTCAAGGTCCCAAAACAAAGCAGTGAGGCTGCACCTCATTAGACACTTGGGTGGGGCAATGAGGTGAGGCCAGATCACAGGGACCCTGTGGGGCATCCAAATGAGTTTGGATACTATTTTAAGGGCAAGAGGAATACACTGAAAGATTTTGATCCAAGGAGGGCCATGCTCTGGATCACTCTGGCTCTTCCTGGAAAGGGGTTTCGGCTTGGAGACCAACCAGTTCCATGCCTTCAGGCTTATGCTCAGGCCAGGCTCAAGCCTGGAACAACGATGGTCTTTCCCAGGACAGTTCCTAGGCTCCTGAGAGCTTATCACTGCAGTGCTTTCAGCCCAGGTCAAGCCTGGTTTGCCTCGCCAGCCCTTCAATCGCTCCACAAACCACTCACTGGGCGCAGGGGACAGAGTCCTGAGGTCTCCCGCTGTCACAGAACCACTATTTTTCTGTTCTGCCTCCCTCCTAACTAATGGGGCAGTCATACTATGTTTGGCGGGGCAGTGACAAATCCAGGCCCATGGGTTAGTGGTACAAACGAGGCTTCTCCCTAAGACGATGGAGGACACCTCGTGATAGGCAGCCCGGCCCGAACCAATGAGCTGGTGAGACCAAAGTGGACACGCGGGAGTCAAGGCAGGATATGGACTACAATTCCCAGCAGACTCTGCGCGCGGTTGCCGATCCCTCCGCACTAATTTACTCCGCCGGCTGTTCACCACGGCCGGCCAAGGACCAAGCCTAGGTCTTTTTTCCTGGAACCGAGGTCCATCTTCTTATCACAGTTTCAGAGAGAGACCACGGAATGCCCTGGAGGTGAAACGGACTTTTTGAGGAGAAACGCGGATGCAGACTATCGGAGAGAGGTCGCTCTGAAGCCACCGACTTTCGCGCGCTTTGGCGCGGGTGGTTGTGGGTAGAGCGCCCAGGAGGGAGAAAGGAGCCGGGGGGCTGTGACCGCGGCCTGAGGGGATGTTCGAGGACGAACCCCACGCTGAGGGGGCAGCGGTCGTCGCCGCAGCCGGGGAGGCGCTGCAGGCCCTGTGCCAGGAGCTGAACCTGGACGAGGGGAGCGCAGCCGAAGCCCTGGACGACTTCACCGCCATCCGGGGCAACTACAGCCTAGAGGTGAGCGGCGGCAGGTGGGGCGGCCGGACCCGACCCCCGCCAGGCCCCACCCCCGCCCCGCCCCTACCCCACCTTTTGGGGCGGTGGGAGTTTTCCCACCGGGAAGGGTCGCTTCCCCGCCGGGCGCTGCTGGGTGCGGAGTTGGAAGGGCGGGTGTAGACCCATCTATCCATTTTCTTTCTGAGGCGGGAAACTGAAGTCCGGAAGAGGGGCGGCTTGTCCGCGGTCGCACGCCCCTCGGGGGTCCCCTAGACTCCACACCAGCTTCCCGCCGAGCGCCGCAGACGTCAAGATAGCGCCCATAAATCTATTAAAAAAACAAATGCCGGAATGGTAAAAGCTGAAGTGAGTTGTAGTGCCGACACCACCGCCCAGCCCTTTAAATATGTCATCTCGCTCCGTTCTCGCCACAATCCTGGGAACCGTTCCACCGGAGTGCCTAAGCTACGTGCCCAAGGCCGCGCGGTTAGTGGTGGAGCCGGGCGGAGTCCAAACCTTCGAACCGCCCCACCGTGCGGCCTCACCCCGGCGGGCGGAGCTGTGGGCTGCTCGCTTTGATGAAAGCCATCATTAGCAAGTGGGGCTCAGCCTTCAGCCCCAGCCTCCTCCCGTCTCTGAATCCTGATGCTTACCGCAGCGCCTGACTTTGAATTAAATAAGTGCCGTCATTACTGGGTTTTTCCCCTAATCATTCTCGCATGGAGCACCCCCAGCAGCCCTGTGAATGTGGCAGGGCAGTATTATACCTGCTTTCCAGGTAGTAATATCAAGGCCCAGAGGACTGTGCTGCCCAGGGTCATTCTGCTAATTATTAAAGGACTCCAGTATAGAGGTAGCATTGGGATGGGATGTATTCCAGCATACTCCTCCAGTAACCTTAAATTCTGAGACTTTCCTGCATAATCCAAGGGGCCTGGGCTCACTGACTTACCACCCGGTGAAATAGTTAATTCATGAATGAATTATTATTATTATTAAGGAAATAATTAATTGCATTCAGAGGCATGTAGTTGGATATTTGGAGTTGAGTGTTGAGGGAGAAAATACCTAAGAGACGCCCTTGTTTGTCTCTGGGGTAAGACTGGTAGATTGGATAAAGGACAGTGACCTGCATCCATGGGTGGCACGACTGGGAAGCTGAAGGAAGAATAGGCAAGTAAGGGAGATTATGAATTATGGCCACTCAGTGAAAACAAACTAATTTTTAAAAGCCTGAGAAGGCATTTCTGACTTCCTAAGTCCTCCTTTGATCTGTCATTGAATAAACATTTACTGAGTGCAAAGTGCAGTCGAGGCACTAAACTCGACACCTCTTTCAAAAGAAACAAGATTTATCTGTTAAGAGAGAAAAAAGAGAGCATGCAGAGGGGAGGGGCAGAGAGAAAGTCTCAAGCTGACTGTGCTGTTAGCCAGGTACAGGACTTGATCCCAGGACCCTGAGATCATGACCTGACCAGAAACCAAGAGTCAGATGCTCAACCAACTGCCCCACCCAGGTGCCCCTCAAATTCTTGAATATACCAAGTTTCTTCCCACTTGCATGTTTTCTCCATGCCATTCCCTCTGTCCGGAAACCTTTCCCTCACTCCCTACAACAGGCAGATTGAAGAAATATATCTGAAGAGCTAAGTGAACAAGATGAAGTTGATCAGGACACCTTAAATGTTTGATTCAGAAAGCACAGATGTATGAAGTAAGATTTGGGGTTATTTTGTCCCAAGTCTTTTATTTTCTTCTTCCTCTTTTTTTTCCTTTGTTTGTTTTTGGTGAAAGGCTCTTGGAGTAGGTATTTTTATATATCTCTCTTTTTTTTTTTTAAGATTTTATTTATTTGACAGACAGAGATCACAAGTAGGCAGAGAGAGAGGAAGGGAAGCAGGCTCCCCGCCGAGCAGAGAGCCCGATCCGGGGCTCCATCCCAGGATCCTGGAATCATGACCTGAGCCAAAGGCAGAGGCTTTAACCCACTGAGCCACCCAGATGCCCCATATCTACTCTTTTTCCCTAACCCTCTCCCCAGGGATGCCTGGGTGGCTCAGTCAGTTAAGCCACTGCCTTCAGCTCAGGTCATGATCCCAGGGTCCTGGGATTGAGTGCCACATTGGGCTTCTTGCTTGACAGGGAGCCTGCTTCTCTTTCCACCTCTGCCTGCCACTCTGCCTGCTTGTGTGCGCCCGCTCTCTCTCTCTCTCTCTCTGTCTTCCCCTCTCTGACAAATAAATAAATAAAATCTTAAAAAAAAAAAAAAAATGAAAGAAATCCTCTCCCCAGCTCCTATCCCTGTCAATATACGTGACAAGCCCCCACTTACATTTCCCCCTTGCCTTTCCCTCTCACCCCTTATATTTTGATGATTCACCACTTAACAAGTTTTAAGTCTTCTGAATTCTCTGACCTCGCCTCAAAATCTGTTACTCTACTATATATTCTCTCACACTTTATCTTCAATTCTTATAGCATATATCTCACCAATTAAAGATAACTGTTATTTGTTCCTTTTCTTCACTCTAGATTTGGAATTACATGAGGTCAGAAACCATCTTTGTATTTCTAAGGTCTAACATCAAAGAATTAAAATAAGTAATATAGTTGACTTTTCTTTCCTTCTTTTTTTTTTTAGGGAGAAAAAGCAAAAATACTGGTACTTACGTTTTCTCTCTTAGTGGTGTTTTCATCTAGTAACCTGTATCCAGTGGCTCTCTAATACTTGGATACTATTCCCCAAAATTTGTAAATCAAGACTTCTAAAAGTATTCAGCCACAAGCTTACATGCCTCATTTAATACCTTGAGCAAATAAGACTTCTCCATACATTAGGGTATAACACGGGGGTTTTCTTTTTGTTTTTTTGGTTTTTGTTTTTTTAAAACTGGGTTTTAATTCTATTGGCCACCCATTCCTGTCCTCCCTTTTGGATTATTATAAGAAATCTTTCATTGTTTTTATTCTTTTAGAGACTGGTCTTAAAGAGGCTCTGCAGAACTATGCTATAAGATTTGTGTCTAATTTTTTTTTTTTAAGATTTTATTTATTTATTTGACAGAGAGAGATCACAAGTAGACAGAGAGGCAGGCAGAGAGAGGGAGGGAAGCAGGCTCCCTGCCAAGCAGAGAGCCCGATGCGGGACTCGATCCCAGGACCCTGAGATCATGACCCGAGCTGAAGGCAGCGGCTTAACCCACTGAGCCACCCAGGCGCCCCTTGTGTCTAATTTTTAATCCTTAAATTACATATGTAGTTCAGTGGTAAAGTCATGAAGTAATTTTAGCTTGGAGATATCTCAAGTCTAAAGCAGACAATTAAGTGTTGAATTCCCAAATGTCACCTTTTTATACCATTGTAAATTGAGGTATCTACTACAGTGGAGAGGCTTACTTACTGTTTTAACCCACTGAGCCACCCAGGTGCCCCTTACTTACTGTTTTAAAGATTGGGTAGATAATTCCCCAAATTTTTACCTCACAAAAATGGTGGTCTTTTTATGTTGTACAAGATAGATAAGAACTTTTTATGTGTGACTTGCTTGCCATCTTCCTACTCTGTTCTTTCCTTTCCCTGCCATACTGGTTAAAAAAGCATAAGGGGTGCCTGGGTGGCTCAGTCGTTGGGCATTTGCCTTTGGCTCGGGTCATGATCCTGGGGTTCTGGGGTTGAGCCCCAAGTGGCTCCCTGCCCGGCGGGGACCCTACTTCTTCTTCTTCCACTCCCCTTGCTTGTGTTCCCTCTCTCACTGTGTGTCTCTCTGTCAAATTAATAAATAAAATCTTAGAAAAAACAAAAGGAGGAATGCCTGGGTGGGTCAGTTGGTTAAGTGGCTTTCTTCAGCTCAGGTCATGATCCCAGCGTCCTTCAATCTTCAGTCTTCTCCCTCTGCCTCTGCCTGCCACTCTGCCTGCCTCTACTCTTTCTATCTCTCTGACAAATAAATAAAATCTTCAAAAAAAGGAGACATAAAACTGAAGTGGTGGAAAGGAACTTGAGCATCATCAAGGCCATGACTGGTGTTTTCAAATCAAGTAAGCTAATGCTGAGGCTGAAAAATTTTAAGAGAACTCCTTCAAATAATATCAGATTTGGGGTGTAGATGAGAGATCTATTTTTATTTTTTTTATTTTTTTTAATTTATTTTTTAAATATTTTATTTATTTATTTGACAGACAGAGATCACAATTAGGGAGAGAGGCAGGCAGAGAGAGCGGGGGGAAGCAGGACCCTGGGATCATGACCTGAGCTGAAAGCAGAGGCTTAACCCACTGAGCCACCCAGGCGCCCCGAGAGATCTGTTTTTAGATTAATGCTGATATATCATCTTACACAGGACTGAAAATAAGGAGTTTTATACTCATTTCTGTAAAACTAAGCTTTGTGTGACCTTGGGCAAATATCTTCCCTGCTCTGGCCTGTTCTATACATAACGAAAATAAGACCAAATAGTTCTAAGATCCTTTCTGGTTTTAGAACTCAAGCAATTTAACATAATATATTCATTTTGCTGTTTGTCTTTTGCCTGCCAGGGAGAAGTTATACACTGGTTGGCATGTTCATTGTATGTTGCATGCCGCAAAAGCATTATTCCCACTGTTGGGAAAGGTATCATGGAAGGAAATTGTGTATCACTTACCAGAATACTGCGTTCAGCTAAACTAAGGTAAAGCACTTGATTTTTCAAACACTTTTATAAGTCCTAAATTTACTTTTAGAATTTAATTTCTGCAACTCTATTCCGTTTAAAGTTTGTTGTCCTATGGGTATCCTTTTCCAATTCTCATATTCTTCCATTGCCTTTCTTCCTCAAATTCTGACTTCAGCCAGAGGAATTTATACTATTTTTTTAATCTGTAATTTTTTCATTGTTTTTTTAAGATTTGGAAGCAATTTCAAGCTTTTAGAAAAGCTGCAAAATAAGGAAAGCACCTAACACCCATATACCCTTGACCCAAATTCACCTCTTATTGACACTTTACTCTATTTGCTTTGTCATTTGATCTTTCTCAAATATTTTTTCCTCAATCATCTCAAAGTAAGTAGCATGCATTATAGCCCTTTACCCCTAAATACTTCATTGTGTATTTGGATAACTACCACAGTTACCAACTTCAGCAGAGATAACATTGATATAATAATTTAATCTGTCATCTCTATTCTAGTTTTATTAGTTGATCCAATAATAATCTTTATAGCAATTTTTTAAAAGAATATTCCAATCAAGGATTAGGTACTACATTCACTTACTATATCTGTTTAGTTTCCTTTAATCAGGAATATTTGCACAGCAAGAATGTAGTCCACAAACACTCCAACCCCTTTTTAATAGATTGCTCCTCATTTTGGATTTGTCTTATGTTTTCTTATGATTAGAGACAGGTTATACACCCCAGATAGAAAACCACATAAGTAGTTTTGTGTCCTCGCCGTATCACATCTGGAGGCACAATATCCTTGTGCTTTGCTTGTGTTAATTTTGATTATCTGCTCAGTGTGTTGTCCTATAGTTTTTCTACTGTAGAGTTAATATTTTTTACTGTGCAACAAGTAAGCAAGCAGTAGGTCTTAGCTATAGCTTTTACTTGCTCTGGCATTAACCATATGGAACTATTTGCCTGGATACAAAACAAAAGAAATGGAAGGATCCAGATTTGGATAGGTAGTAATGTTCTCTGTTTCTGGGTTTTTCACCCATAACAAAACTATTCGAGGTTGTTGTCCATTAACTTTCCTGGGTTTCCAGCATGGAAGACAAACAAACTTTAAAAGACCTGTCGAGGAAGAGCAATTAAAGTTTCAGTTTATGCTAAATTTAAAAAAAAATTTTTTTCTCAGAATAATTTTAGTTTGCATAAGTGGAAAAATAATACATTCAAGACAATTTTTAAAACTCAGTAGATACCAAAAAAAAAAAAAAACAACCCAACTTCAGTAGACCCCAATTTTTGTCATTTATGATAAAAATAAAATGAAAGTATAATTAAGATTGATGGGAGTTCAGGTAATTTTTTTAATTGAGTAAAACCTCCCTCTTCATTGCAGTATAAAATAAACTGACTTTTTTCTATCAGTGCTTCTCATCATATAAAATTTTTAAAATCTTTATAATACTAGGTTGTTGGGCAAACAGAACAAAAAAAGAGTAACTTAAAATTTGGAGCACATGATAAAAATTTCAAATAATGAAATATTCTGGAAATAGCTGGTGATGATTACACAATGGGAATATACTTAATACCACTTAACTGTACACTTAAACATGGTTAAAATAGTAAATTTTATATTATACATACTTCTACCAAAATTTTTAAAAGGGTTCACAAACTTTCAAGTAATACAAAAAAATCTGTTTTTCAGTGTTTTAGTTTTTTTAAAACATAATGAGATCATATAAGTATTGTTGCTTTTCTTTTTTTTTTTCCTTTAAAGATTTTATTTATTTATTTGACAGAGAGAGACACAGCAAAAGAGGGAACACAAGCAGGGGGAGTAGAAGAGGGAGAAGCAGACAGGAACCTGACACGGGGCTCAATCCCAGAACCCTAAGATCATGCATGACCTGAGCCGAAGGCAGGTGCTTAACAACTGAGCCACCCAGGTGCCCCTGTTGTTGCTTTTCTTACTTTATATTCTGGTAATTCCATATCAACATAAGTAGCTCTTCCTCGCTTTAGGACTTAAGATATAAGGATATTTCATATATTTAGCCAACCCTTTACTGATGACCATTTAGAGTGTATTCAGTTCTTTGTGATTACAGACAGATTATTGTGAAATGTATTTCAGATAAATTCCTAAAAGTGTAGGGATGGGTCAAAAGACCCCCATTTTTTAAATGTAGAGTGATACAAATTTTTTTTTTAGGTGTCAGATTCTTAACTACTAAAAGAGCATAGAGTATCATCATGTTCATTCCGACAAAAAAGAATTACAAGTGATGTTATTATTTTCATTGATTTATAATAATTTGGGCTGTTTATGAAATTTCAATTTTAAGTATAATTTTAAATGATTATTTAAGATCTTTATAGATGGGGAAAAATACCAAATATTGCTAATAAATCATACTGCAAAATATATATAAGTGCAGATTATAGATGTACATGTAATACTAGCAGGGTTTTTTTCAGTATTTACCTGTGAGCTAGGCATTTAATATGTGCTAAGGGTTTGTATGTCTTTATCCATTTAATCCTCACAGTTAATCCCATGAAATAAATCTCATTTTATAGATAAGGAAACCTAGTCACCTAGAGCTTAAATTACTTCCCAAAGGTTTTATACCTAGTAGGTAGCAGAGTATCCCAAATCCATACTGTATTACATATGTATCTACCCATAATATTAGTATGTCTGTTTTGAACTGTATTTATATTCAGCTTCAGTTTGTGAAAAAAAACAACTTCCAACTTAAAAATAAGTTTCAACTGGGACATCTGGGTGGCTCAGTCGGTTAAGTGCCTCTCTTTGTCTCAGGTTGAGTATTGCATCCAGGTCTTTTCTCAGCAGGGAGCCTGTTTCTCCCTCCGCTTGCTCAGCCTGCCACTCTCCCTTTTTGTTCAGGCTCTCTGACAAATAAAGTCTTAAAAAAAAGTTTCAGGGACGCCTGGGTGGCTCAGTTGGTTAAGCAGCTGCCTTCGGCTCAGGTCATGATTCCAGCGTCCTGGGATCGAGTCCCACATCGGGCTCCTTGCTCGTCAGGGAGCCTGCTTCTCCCTCTGCCTCTGCCTGCCATTCTGTCTGCCTGTGCTCGCTCTCTCTCCCTCTCTCTCTCTGACAAATAAATAAATAAAATCTTTAAAAAAAAAAAAGTTTCAAATAAAAGTTTATTTTGCTATTAAGTGTAATATTAAAAAGTAGTATTTGGGGGTGCCTGGGTGGCTCAGTTGGTTAAGCGACAGCGTTCTATTCAGGTCATGATCCTGGAGTCCCTGGATCCAGCCCAGTGTTGGGCTCCCCACTCGGCAGGGAGTCTGCTTCTCCCTCTGACCCTTCCCCCTCTCCTGCTCTCTCTCTCTCTCTCAAATAAATAAATCTTGAAAAAAAAAGTAGTGTCTGTTGTGCAATTTGAATTTTTAATTTAGTAAAGAAGTTGTCTGCATCTCGTTTTAAGTATTCAGAAGTAATTTTTCCACATTTTCCCCAAGTTTTTCAGTTACTTCGGGTTTAAATCAAGATGACATCCATTCATTCATTATTTTCATATTGTAATAGAACCTGAATGATTATTTCATGAAAAATTATTTCTCATACATTTTAACTGGAACACTGGTGATACTAAATTTTTACAAAGTAATTTTCTTTTTTATGTTTTGAGTACCATTGAAATTCAGTAGTATGCTGCTATTGGGACATACACCCCATATTTACCATCTGTACTCTACATTTATTAAAGGGTGTACATGTGGTAAAATATACATAACATTGGGGCACCTGGGTGGCTAGTTAGTTGGGCATCTCCCTCTTGATTTTGGCTCAGGTCATGGTCTCTGGGTTGTAGGATTTGGCCCCGTCAGGCTCCCAGCTCAGTGGTAAGTTTGCTTCTCTCCTCCTGCCCCTCCCCCTACCTGCTTGCTCTCTCTATATAAAAATGAATCTTTAAACAATATATATACATAAAATTTACCATCTAACCAACTTTTAAGTGTACAGTTCAGTGGCATTAAATACATTTACATTGTTGTGCAGTCATCACCACCATCCATTTGCAGAAATTTTTCAGCTTCCCAAAGTGAAACCTCTTAACAATTAAACAAAAGCTTCCTTCTCCCTCCTAGCCCTTGGCATTTATCAGTACTTCATTCCTTTTTATGGCTGAATAATATTCCATTGCATATATACCACATTTTGTTTATCTGTTTATTAGTTGATGGATACTTGAGTTGTTTCCACCTTTTGGCCATTATGAATAATGCTGCTATGAACATTTGTGCATAAGTTTTTGCACAAAAACATAAGACATATGTTTTTATTTCTTTTGAGTATATATGTTTGAATGGAATTATTGGGTCCTATGAGAACACTATGTATAATCTTTTGATGTACTGTCAGATTGTTTTCCAAAGTGACTACACAAGTTTACATTCCCACCAGCAGAGTTTGAGGGTTCCATTTTACCCATATCCTTGCCAATACTTGTTATAATCTGTCTTTTCTTTAAGGCCATTCTAGTGGGCATGAAATGGTATCTTAGACTTCCCGAATGGCCAGTGATGTGGAGTTTCTTTTCATATGCTTATTGCAGTATGATTTTTTTTTTTTAAAGATTTAATTTGGGACACCTGGGTGGCTCAGTTGGTTAAGCAGCTGCCTTCGGCTCAGGTCATGATCCCAGCGTCCTGGGATTGAGTCCCACATTGGGCTTCTTGCTTGGCGGGGAGCCTGCTTCTCCCTCTGCCTCTGCCTGCCATTCTGTCTGCCTGTGCTTGCTCTCTCTCCCTCTCCCTCTGACAAATAAAAAAAAAAAAAAAAATCTTGAAGATTTAATTTATTTGAGATAGCGAGAGAGCACGAGTGGTGAGGGGAGGGCAGAGGAGAGGGAGGAGCATGTTGTCCACTAGGCACGGATCCCAACTTGGGGCTTGATCCCAGGACCCTGGGATCATGACCTGAGCCGAAGGCAGACACTTAACTGATGAGCCACCCAGGTGCCCTAGAGTAATGTATTCTTCTTTACAACAGAATTCCAACGAACAGAATTGTTTTGAAAGCCGTGAAGTTTACTTTGCTTCTTATTTTACTTTAAAAAATCATACTCCTAGGTTAAGTAATAGTAATGCTGTAAGTTTGTTTCCAAACATTCTGATGTGCTTTGTTCCAGGTTAGAACAGCCATACTAGGAATAGCAATAAATACAATGGATTTATATAAGTATATATTAGTCAAGCATCTTGTTTATAAAAAAAACAGATACCAACTACTGACTAGCTAACTAGTCTTTAGACAGAGTCTTTAGGATGACTTGAGAAAACAGAGTTGGAAAATGTCCAGGAATAAAATGAGACTGGGTAGAGCCAAAAAGTGTATCACAAGAATTCATCTAACAAGGACACGACTTACATGGCTGGCAGTGCCATTTCTGGACATTGCCACTGTGTTTGTCCCTAATAGCTGAATATTGCTGATGATCCTGCTATAAGAATTTGTCACTTGCTCAGTTCTGTGCATTTCAGCTCCAGTTTCAAAATCACAAACATATATCAAAGACCTCAGGTTTTATGCCTTCACCCTAACTTCAGTGAAGCTGATCTATCTAGTAGACAGCGAGACTCAAAATTGGGGAATTCCTTGAACAAAAGAAAGAATTTCACATGCTGAGCATCCCTGCCTCCAAAACAATAAATATTTAGTAATCCAGCAAAAAAAAAAAAAAATTGTTGCTATTATTGCTAAGAATCTTTTAAAGAGACTCAGATTCTCAGATTTCAGTCTGCATATCTGGAGTTTGAATACCTATGGATAATTAGCTGATGATGTCTTTCATCACCTTTTTTTCTTTTTTTTAAAGATTTTATTTACTCATTTGACAGATGGAGATCACAAGTAGGCAGAGAAGCAGGCAGAGAGAGAGGAGAAAGCAGGCTCCCCACTGAGCGGAGAGCCTGACGAGGGGCTCTGTCTCAGGACCCTGAGACCACGACCCAAGCCAAAGGCAGAGGCTTTAACCCACTGAGCCACCCAGGCGCCCCCGTTCCATCACCTTTTTTAAAAAGGTATCATTCTGGGCCGCCTGGATGGCTCAGTTGGTTAAGCAGCTGCCTTTGGCTCAGGTCATGATTCCAGGGTCCTAGGATCAAGCCCCGTATCAGGCTCCCTGCCTAACAGAGAGCCTGTTTCTCTCTCTCCTTCTGCCTGCTGCTCTGCTTACTTGTGCTCTCTCTCTGTCAAATAAATAAATAAAGTCTTTAAAAAAAGAAATAAAGGTATCATTCTGGTGCTGGTTCAGTCTTTACTGAACCTGGCTAGTTCAGTCAGTAAAGCAGACATTACTTAAAAATGAAATCTTTTTTTTTTTTTTTTAAGATTTTATTTATTTATTTGACAGAGAGAGATATAGCGAGAGAGGGAACACAAGGAGGGAACGTGGAAGAGGGAGAAGCAGGCTTCCCACTAAGCAGGGAGCCCGATTCAGGGCTCGATCCCAGGACCCTGAGATCATGACCCGAGCCGAAGGCAGACGCTTAAGGACTGAGCCACCCAGGTGCCCTTAAAAATGAAATCTTAAAAAAAAAAAAAAAAAAAAAAATTCTGTTTATGGCACTAGACACTTAAATGAATGCTACAAATTTCAATCTAAAACCATACTAACATGAGGACATAAAAAATGTACCCATGATTGAATAAGCCAGAAAGGTGGACTAATAATCTATTAAAGTAATTTTCTGGGTATGTACTACCTTTTCATTTATATTTGATGGTGGAACCACATATTGGAACACAAACACTTGAATTTTATTCCTAAACTATAACTGTCTGGTGCTTTGTGATCAGCTTCCACAATCCACTACTTGGGAGATTCTGTTTGTCTTCAAACTAATTTCATGAACTCAATCTGTTCACATTACTTTAAAATATATACAAATTATTGTCTGGGTGCTGTAGGGAATGAAAGAAGTAGATAGGTACCATTACTTAATGGATAGAAGACATTTATGTAATGACCACTAATTCAATATCTATATTCCCATAGTGATTCTGGAAGCCAGAGGAATTTCATAGCGCTTGGGAATAAGGTTTTTCAGTTGCCTTTTTTTTTTTTTTAAATAAATTTACGCTTTTAAGTAAAGATTTTTTTTCTTTAATCAAGATTCTTAAGATTTGTAGGCATAAATAAAATGTTAACTTGTCCTTTATATGAACTCACTTTAAAGTTGAGCTTTTTAAAAAAATAAACAAAGTTGCTTTTTTTGTTTAGTTTAATACAGTTTTTTAGTAAAATGAAGAAGTGGATGGACATGTCAAACCTGCCGCAAGAATTTCGTGAACGTATAGAAAGGCTAGAAAGAAATTTTGAGGTGTCTACTGTCATTTTCAAAAAATTTGAGCCAATTTTTTTAGATATATTTCAAAATCCATATGAAGAGCCACCAAAGTTACCTCGAAGCAGGAAGCAGAGGTAAGACTCTTAATTGTTATGTAATTGACATTAAAAAAATACAAATTATGCTATAAACTTTGGAAATTTGCATTTTTGAAAGTCTGCTTTTTAACAGAAGTATCCATTTGTAAAAAAAAATTTTTTTGACAAAAAATTTTTTTAATCCATTTATAATTAGCATATCTGGAAATTCAGGGTAATATTTTCACTTATTTTTTATGGTCTGATTATTTTGTGCAGATTAGAAATATTTATTTAAGTCCACTTAATGAACCATAGGTTGTCCTTTGTGAATAGAATTTTACATGTAATTTGACTTTACTATTTGTTATTTATATTTGCTGCTTCAATTTAAATGACCATGTGGAGTGATATTTAGCAAGTTAGTTAAAAAGTACATTTTTTCCTTTCTAGGAGGATTCCTTGCAGTGTTAAGGATCTCTTTAATTTCTGTTGGACACTCTTTGTTTATACTAAGGGTAAGGTGATACTTTCAATGGTTTTACATTTCTGCTATGGGAACTTGGTGTTATTTGACATAAGAGGTTTCTGGTCTTTGTGTTTTTTTCTTATAAAGGTAATTTTCGCATGATTGGAGATGACTTAGTAAATTCTTACCATTTACTTCTGTGTTGCTTGGATCTGATTTTTGCCAATGCCATTATATGCCCAAATAGACATGACTTGCTGAATCCATCATTTAAAGGTAAGACTTTATTTACTTTTGAAAACTAGTCATCAGTATTTAGAAAAAGTTTTAAATGTTGACCATATTCTTCTAACCATTTCCTTTTGCTTTTCATATCCTGTCAAACTAGGTTTACCATCTGATTTCCATACTGCTGACTTTCGGGCTTCTAAAGAGCCCCCCTGCATCATTGCTGTACTGTGTGAACTGCATGACGGACTTCTAGTAGAAGCAAAAGGAATAAAGGAGCACTACTTTAAGCCATATATTTCAAAACTCTTTGACAGAAAGGTACTGCACTTATAAGTAAATGGCTAAGATTTTTAAAGGTCAGCAGCAAAAACCTCTAAGGAAAAAATAATGTTTTAAGCAAGTTCTCAGCATTAGGACTCAGGGTCAAGATTTCCAGGTTTCAGTCTCTGCCATGATTTAAAATGCTGTAATGCAGAATCACCCTATGATCTTTTGTGATGTGCAAAACTGAGCTGTTAAAGACTGTGACCGGGGCGCCTGGGTGGCTCAGTGGGTTAAAGCCTCTGCCTTCGGCCCAGGTCATGTTCCCAGGGTCCTGGGATCGAGCCCCGCATCGGGCTGTCTGCTCAGCAGGGAGCCTGTTTCCTCCTCTCTCTCTCTGCCTGACTCTCCGTCTACTTGTGATATCTCTCTCTGTCAAATGAATAAATAAAATCTTTTTTAAAAAAAATTAAAAAAAAAAAAAAGACTGTGACCAACTATATATACTGTCAAGTAAATGCACTGGCAGAGATGGCTGTAAGAGGTTTTAATAAAAGAATTATAAAGAACCGAACATTGGAGTAAGCCTAATAAAGAATTATGGAAAGCAGAAGGTCAGGGTAAATTAATTTACCGCCACAATTTGAATAACTGCTGACTATTTACTAAAGATGGGGTGATACATAACAACTATAGCTTCAATTCTATATAAACAGAACAGAAAATCTGTTATAGTTTTATAGCCATTTACAGGCTACCTGCATGCATTTTGGATTTTTTTTCTCAGCAATTTACTTCGCTAATTCTGTGTTTATGAAATGGCTTACTCCTCTTGTTCTCAATTTCTTACTTTCCCAACATTGAGCCATTTAATCCAGCTAGTACTTGAGTTTTCTCTTTGGTAAAAAAAAAGGGGGGGGGGAGGTGAATTAGGTCATCACTGTGGTTCCTTCCACTCTTTGTAGATAATACGAGATTTTTCTTCAATCATAAAGTCTTCTCTAACTGGGTGGTTCTTCTGTTACACACACTTTTGTATCTAGCTTTATCTTTCTTCCTGTGTGTATGTATGTGCATATGTGTATCATGGCTCCTTACTTGCAAGTTAAACATGTCCAGCAAAGTAAACTTTGAAGGGAACTCAAGAATTGTCTTCTGTGCTCTGCAGAAGCACCACATTAGTGGCCCTGGGGTATAATGAGCATAAATTTTGGTTTGCCTGGATTATCTAGGTTTTGGTTGTTGTCTTAATATAATTATTATAGCACCTCCTTTCACTCCAAAAGAGTCCTAGTTTGGATAGTTGTCCTCCTACTCATGGGCTGCAGATGTTTTGTTTTGCCTATGTAGAGTGTTCTTTATTTTTATTTCATTCAATTCTAATTTATATATAAAGACTTTTAATATGAAAATCTCTTTCAAGGGGCACCTGGTTGGCTCAGTTAAGTGTCTGACTTGATCTCAGCTCAGGTCTTGATATCAGGGTCATGAGTTTAAGCCCCATGTTGGGAAAGAAAAAAAAGGAAAGAAAATCTCTTTCAAAAATCAGGGCTTGGGGCGCCTGGGTGGCTCAGTGGGTTAAGCCTCTGCCTTCAGCTCAGGTCATGGTCTCAGGGTCCTGGGATCGAGCCCCACATCGGGCTCTCTGCTCAGCAGGGAGCCTGCTTCCCTTCCTCTCTTCCTGCTGCTCTGCCTACTTGTGATCTTTCTCTCTCTCTCCCTCTGTTAAATAAATAAATAAAATATTTAAAAAAAAATCAGGGACTATGGCAATACAAGGTTAGAATTTCTACATGAATTTCTACATGGATAACTATTGTTAAGCTAAGTGATGCCCACCTCTTTTTAAGATGGGAAGTATGCTTTCTGTCCTCTTAAATTTATGTATGTTGAACCCTGACTGCTGAAGGCATTTGAGTTTACAACCCTTATATGTAATAATCTAGGAATAGTGTGGGAGCATAGATAATATTATAAACAGGGGCACTTGGGTAGCTCAATTGGTGGAGCATCCAAGTCTTGATCTCAGGGTTGTGAGTTCAAGCCTCATGTTGGAGCCTAAAAAAAGAAAGAAAGAAAAGAAAATATTATATAAACAGTATAGTTTTCTTCTCTCACTAGCAATAGTACCTTATTCCCTTTGAATGTTTCCTTGCCTAACACATATTATCATTTAGTAAATGTTAGTTTCCCTTCTCCTTAGACCAATGTTTAAAATTTGACAGCTTTTGTCAGAATCACTTGGGGGAATTTATATAAAATGCTGCCTCAGCTGAGGACTTGTGGTCCATCAGTCTGCATTTTTTAAAAAATTCCCGGGGCTCCTGGGTGGCTCAGTGGGTTAAAGCCTCTGCCTTCGGCTCAGGTCATGATTCCAGGGTCCTGGGATCGAGCCCTGCATCGGGCTCTCTGCTCAGTGGGAAACCTGCTTCCTCCTCTCTCTCAGCCTGCCTCTCTGCTTACTTGTGATCTCTGTCTGTCAAATAAATAAATAAAATCTTTATTTTTTTTTTTTAAAGATTTTATTTATTTATTTGACAGAGAGAAATCACAAGTAGGCAGAGAGGCAGGCAGAGAGAGAGGAGGAAGCAGGCTCCCTGTTGAGCAGAAAGCCCCATGTGGGGCTTGAACCCAGGACCTGGGATCATGACCTGAGCCGAAGGCAGCGGCCCAACCCACTGAGCCACCCAGGCGCCCCAATAAAATCTTTAAAAAAAAAAAAAAATCCCCTAAGTGACTGCCTGAGTGGCTCAGTTGGTTGAGCATCCAACTTGGTTTTGGCTCAGGTCATGATCTCAGGCTCATGAGATCCAAACCCTGAGTTGGGCTCCATGCTGAGCCTGCTTGAGATTCTCTGTCTCCCTTTGCCCCTCCCCCCTGTTCATGTGCTTTCTCTTTCTCTTTTTTCTCTCAAATAAATACATCTTTAGGGAAAAAAAAACATATCTCTAAGTGATTCTTACATCACTAGAATTTAGAAACCATTGCCACAGGCTAACTTAAAAGTATTTTTAAAAGTTGACTTTACATTTTTAAAATATTTTATTTGTGTGCTAAATAGGTTTTACTGGTTTAAAGGAAATACTGAGTAATTCTGTTTTGTGTGTATATTTTTTATAACAACTGCCAATGTGATAGATAAATGTCATGTTTTTGTATCTATGTTATTATGCTTAATTACATGTCAAAAAATGACTTTTTCTTCCCAGATTTTAAAAGGAGAATGCCTCCTGGACCTTTCAAGTTTTACCGATAATAGGTAAGTATCTAGCATTAATGGTATCTGCCATACTATAGGCTGTCGATGATGATTTATTGCAGTTTTTAAAGTAGAACATTATATTAAGGTAACTACTCCAAACTTAGGTTCCTTCTGCATTAGTGGCATTGACTGAGGTTGTTACTAATCCTTGTTGTCTCTAAATAGACATTTTTTTTTTTAAGATTTTATTTATTTATTTGACAGATGGAGATCACAAGTAGGCAGAGAGGCAGGCAGAGAGAGATGGAGAAGCAGGCTCCCTGCGAAGCAGAGAGCCCGATGCAGGGCTCGATCCCAGGACCCTGGGACCATGACCCGAGCCGAAGGCAGAGGCTTTAGCCCACTGAGCCACCCAGGTGCCCCTAAGTAGACATATTTTAAGAAATCTTTGGCACTTAAAAAAAGAAAAGAAATCTTTGGCACTTAAAAGCGCTCCTTCCAGAGAAACTCATAAAGAGACCCAGTGATTTCTGTATTTGAGTGTATGTTCCTTTACTAATCAAATATTGGCAAATTCAAAATATACCTATATTACAAAGCCATTATTGTTCCCTTAGTGGTCACATCTTAATTAGGTTCGCCTAGTTTTCAGATTAAGTTTATATTCTCTTTTTGCTCATCTTTCAAAGTAATTTATTATTGTTGTATATGTGAACATGAAGCATGTCCATAATCAGATAGAAATGTCTGCTATTGTTAGGTGGGTAGAGTTAAAAACTAGAAAGTTATTAGCTTTTCCAGGACTTGGAGTCTAAATTTATCTTCAAGTCAAAATATATCCATTGTGGAGGTACCTGGCTGACTCAGTTAGTAGAGTGTGGGACTCTCAATCTTGGGGTTATGGGTTTGAACCCCATGTTGGATGTAGAGGTTACTTAAATATATATATTTTTTAAAGATTTTATTTATTTATTTGACAGAGAGAGAGGGAACACAAGCAGGGGGAGTTGGAGAGGGAGAAGCAGGCTTCCTGCTGACTGGGGAGCCCAACGCAGGACTTGATCCTAGGACCCTGGGATCATGACCTAAGCCAAAAGCAGACTGAGCCACCCAGGCGCCCCTTAAATAAATATTTTTAAAAATCCACTGTGTAACTTAGTTTTATTCTAGCAGCTTAACATAATTCTCGGGGTATCTGACTTACTCAGAAGAGCATGCAACTCTTGATCTTGGGCTTGTGAGTTCGAGTTGGGTGTAGAGATTACTTAAAAATAAAATCTTTAGATCCATAACTATATGGTCAAGTAATCTCTGACAAAACAGGAAAGAATATCCAATGGAATAAAGGCAGTCTCTTCAATAAATGGTGCTGGGAAAATTGGACAGCAACATGCAGAAGAATCAAACTGGAGAGCTTCCTTGCATCATACACAAAAACAAATTCAAAATGGATAAAAGACCTAAATGTGAGGTAGAAAACCCATCAAAATCCTAGAGGAGAACATTGGCAGCAACCTCTTTCACGTCAGCTGTAGCAACTTCTTACCAAACACATCACCAGAGGCAAGGAAACAAAAGCAAAAATGAACTGTTGGGACTTCATCAAGATAAAAAGCTTCTGCACGACAAAGGAAACAATCAACAAAACTGTAAGGCAGCTTACGCGATGGGAGAAGATATTTGCAAATTATATATCTGACAAGGGTTAGTATCCAAAATCTATAAAGAACTTATCAAACTCAACAGCCAAAAAGCAAGTAATCCAGTTAAGAAATGAGCAGAAGATATGAATAGACACTTTTCCAAAGAAGACGTCCAGATAGCTAACAGACACATGAAGAGATGCTCAACATCACTCATCAATAGGGAAATATAAATCAAAACCATCACGAGATACTACCTCACACCTCTCAGAATGGCTAAAATTAATAACACAGGAAACAAGTATTGAGGATGCAGAGAAAGGGGAACTCTCTTGCGCTTCTGGTGGGAATTCAAACTAACGAAGCCACTCTAGAATAAACAGTATGGAGTTTCCTCAAAAAGTTAAAAATAGAACTACCCTGCAATCCTGCAGTAACACTACTAGATAATTACCCAAAGCATACAAAAATGCAGATTTGAAGGGGTACATGCACCCTGATGTTCATAGCAGCATGAACAATAATAGCCAAACTATGTAGAGAGCCCAAATGTCCATTGACTGATGAATGGATAAAGAAGACATGGTATATATAGACGATGGAATATTACTCAGCCATCAAAAAGAATGAAATCTTGCCTTTTGCAATGACATGGATGGAGCTAATGTGTATTATCCTAAGTGAAACAAGTCAGGCAGAGAAGGACAAATACCCTGTGATTTCACTCATATGTATAATTTAAGAAAACAGATGAACATAGGGGGTGGGGGGAAGAGGGAAACCATAAGAGACGCTTAGAGAACAAACTGAGAGGCTGTGCAGGGAGATGGGTGGGAGATGGCCTAGATGGGTGATGGGTATTAAGAAGGGCACTGGATATGATGAGCCCTGGGTGTTGTATGTAAATTGATGAATCACTGAATTCTCCTGAAACCAACATAGCGCTGTATGTTTAACTAACTAGAATTTAAATAAAAATTTGAAAAATAAAAATAAAACAAAATAAAATCTTTTTTAAATAAATAATTCTCTTTTCAGCAAAGCCGTGAACAAGGAGTATGAAGAATATGTTTTAACTGTGGGTGATTTTGATGAGAGGATCTTTTTGGGAGCGGATGCAGAAGAAGAAATTGGAACTCCTCGAAAGTTCACTGGTGACACCCCATTAGGGAAACTGACAGCACAAGCTAATGTGGACTGTAATCTTCAACAACACTTTGAAAAAGTAATATAACTTAGCCTGGCCTCAGTCTTGAATGATCTTTTTTTCTCTGTGTGTGATTCTACTAACAACAGAAGCATCTTTCAAGTTAAATCTTGAGTTTCTTCTACTAATTTATATTTCCCATGAAAGCCTTAAAAGGTAATTTTTTAAACTATGGCATTTAGTATTTTTACCTCATTTCTTGATGTTTTTCATATTTTTAATACATTTTCCCAGAATGTCTGGGCTTTTCAGTAGGGTATGTGTCTTTTTGACATAAAAAAGGATTTATGTGGGGTGGCTCAGTCAGCTAAGCATCTGACTTCAACTCAGGTCATGATCTCAGGGGTCCTGGGATCAAGACTCATGTTGGGCTCACTGCTCAACAGGGAGTCTGCTTTCTCCCTCTCCTTCGGCCCGCCCCCTACTGCCGCACACAAGCTCACTTGCTCTCAAATAAATAAAATCTTTTCTTAAAAGGATTTATGCTTTCTTATCATTCTTTCTTTGCATCACCTTAGCCACTGTTCTTTTACATTAAAATTTATTCTGTGCCTTCCCTGAACTTCAGGCATAGAATGCTGGACTTGATTGTTAATAGTAAAGGCTTAATTCTGTTTTTATATGTAAGATGCGATGAGGGGCGCCCAGGTGGCTCAGTCCTTAAGCATCTGCCTTTGGCTCAGGTCATGATCCCAGAGTCCTGAGGTTGAGTCCCGCATAGGGCTCCCTGCTCACAGGGAAGCCTGCTTCTCCTTCTCCCACTCCCCCAGCTTGTGTTCCCTCTCTCTGTGTGTCTCTCTCTATGTCAAATAAATAAAATCTTTAATTAATTAATTAAAATAAAATAAAATGGGTTGGAGGATGAGGTCTAATGGAAAAATCTCTGGCCTAGAAGGTAGAAAACCTAAGTCTCAGTCCAAGCTCTGCCATTAACCTTATGAGCTTAATTTTTTAACCTTTTCTGCCTGTTTCATATGTAAAGTGAAAATGTGTATATTTCAAATTAATATTGTGATAAAATGAGATTATAGGTAGTAGGTGCTTTGAAAAAGTGTTACTTAGGGCGCCTGGGTGGCTCAGTGGGTTAAGCGGCTGCCTTTGGCTCAGGTCATGATCTCAGGTCCCTGGGATCTAGTCCCTCATCAGGCTCTCTGCTCAGCAGGGAGCCTGCTTCCCTCTCTCTCTCTGCCTGCCTCTCCGTCTACTTGTGATCTCTCTCTGTCAAGTAAATAAATAAAATCTTTATTTAAAAAAAAAAAGTGTTACTTAAATGTAAGGATGTTATTAGCATAGTATTGGTAAAACTTTGATAGTTAACCAGAGGAGGGAGGAAAAAAGTCCTACTAAATACGAATAGAGAAGATAGTATATATACTGAATTGAACACATAATGAAGGCAAGGTAACTTTTTAATTTCACAGATTTTTCTTTTTTGACAGAAAACATCATTTGCACCTTCTACCCCACTGACAGGACGGCGATATTTACGAGAAAAAGAAGCAGTCATTACTCCTGTTGCTTCAGCCACTCAAAGTGTGAGCCGGTTACAGAGTATTGTGGCTGGACTGAAAAATGCACCAAGTGAACAACTTATAAATATTTTTGAGTAAGTACAATAATATTTTTCTAAATAAATTTTTTAAAGATTTTATTTATTTATTTGGAAGAAAGAGCACGAGCCAGAGAGAGGGGCAGAGGGAAAGAGAGAAACAGACTCCCTGCCTAGCAGGGAGCCCGATGCGGGGCTTAATCCCAGGACCCTGAGATCATGACCTGAGCTGAAGGCAGACGCTTAACCAACTGAGCCACCCAAGCACCCCTCTAAATAAATTTTAATCACAAAATATGTTGACCAATTAGATGAAATTACCTATTAAAATTAGAGGGCGCCTGTGTAGCTCAATTGGTTAAGCGAATGCCTTCAGCTCAGGTGAGCCCCACATTGGGCTCCCTGCTCTGCAGGGGAGCCTGCTTCTCCCTTGCTCCCCCTGCTTGTGCTCGCTCTCTCTCTCCCTGTCAAATAAATAAAATCTTTTAAAAAATTAAATAGAGATATTATTTCATATTATAGACTTTAAAGGGTAAATACTTCTGAAGGTTATTTAACCCTAATATTCCACTCTTGTACCTACCCCTAAGTTATTGTTTTTCTTTTTACATTGACTTGAAATGGGTTCAGTCTAAATGCCCATCAATGAGGTGACTGATTACTTATTGATGGTGCAGCCATAAATGGAATTTTGTGCAGTTGTTTAAGATAAAGAGGCATGTGTCCTAGCAAAGATGGTAGAATAAAGCTAATCAGAGAACCTAATTTCCTAATACTTAGTGAAATAAGAGAATCGTAAGAATGGTAAGCAGCAAACTGCTTAACCAGCAGCAACCAAATGAGGAAAGGGATATGATTTCATGCTATAACTTTGCAAAATGATGGTCAAGAAAGGAATGGATGAGGGGAGCCTGGGTGGCTCAATGGGTTAAAGCCTCTGCCTTCAGCTCAGGTCATGATCTCAGGGTCCTGGGATCAAGCCACATGTTGGGCTCTCAGCTCAGTGGGGAGCCTGCTTCCCCCCACTCTCTGCCTGCCTCTCTGCCTACTTGTGATCTCTGTCTGTCAAATAAATAAATAAAATCTTTAAAAAAAAAAAAAAGAAAAGTAGAGGGTTTTTTAAATTATAATTTATATCAATGGGAGTCATCCTTTTAACTGTATAATTGTATGAGATTTGACAAATGCATGCAGTTATGTAACCACAATCAAGACTTAAAATAATTCCATTAAACCCTCAAAATTTATGCCCCTTTTAGTCAACCCCTATGTCATCTCCAGACTCTGACAACAACTGATATATTTTCTACTTCTATAGTTTGCCTTTTCTAAAATGTTATATAAATAGAAACATAAAAGAGTTAATACTGACTCTGCTAATGTTGAAATTCCAAAACATTATGCCAAATGATTTTGTTTAAAAGTTTTCAATTTATTTGAAATACACTGTTTATATATTGAGGCTTACAACTGGGACCAGAATTGGAATAAATGTTGGTAGTCTGACGTTTTTCTCCTGGTAATTAGTTTCCTCTTGTATTTCATAGATCTTGTATACGTAATCCTATGGAAAACATTATGAAAATAGTGAAAGGAATAGGAGAGACTTTCTGCCAACACTATACTCAATCAACAGATGAACAGCCAGGATCGCACATAGGTAAGAAGACAAAACTAAAGTTGACGCAGCATTAAAAGTAGACGCAGCATTAAAAGTAGACAGACTGGCCTGATAAAAAGGTAGAAATTAAATTATTTTCCTTCCCAGCTATTCTTAATGTATGAGATTTAAGTTTATATAAGTTTTGTTCTTTGGTCCTTAACAGCTACATTTCATTAACACATATTTTCCCTTTTATTCCCCTCCTTAGACTTTGCTGTAAACAGACTAAAGCTTGCAGAAATTTTGTATTATAAAATATTAGAGACTGTAATGGTTCAGGAAACACGAAGACTTCATGGAATGGACATGTCAGTAAGTAAATCTACTCTTCCAGCCACTGGCAAGGTCTGAAAATTCCTAAGCCTGAAAGCAGTGTGTTGAGAGGCTGCATAGTGTGTCTTGGGAATCAGCAGTTAATAGCAAACTTAGCCAGTATGATTTGCTAGTTGGCCTTAGTTGTCTTTTGCACATCCATAGCTAGCCACCTCTGATATACCATCAGTATCATTTCCCTTCAGGTCCTTTTTTTGTCCTTCAATCCCAGCTAGCTAATAATGAGATGTGCGCCCCCCACCAACTGTTAACCCAATGATAATTAAGATATTTGCTCATACCTCCTAGGGATTTTTGAGGAATAAAATGCTTGTTAAAAAATTGCTCTGTGGGGGGCGCCTGGGTGGCTCAGTGGGTTAAAGCCTCTGCTTTCGGCTCGGGTCATGATCCCAGGGTCCTGGGATCGAGCCCCGCATCGGGCTCTCTGCTCAGCGGGGAGCCTGCTTCCCCCTCTCTCTCTGCCTGCCTCTCTGCCTACTTGTGATCTCTCTCTGTCAAATAAATAAATAAAATCTTTAAAAAAAAAAAAATTGCTCTGTGGAGGGGCGCCTGGGTGGCTCAGTGGGTTAAAGCCTCTGCCTTCGGCTCTGATCATGATCCCAGGGTCCTGGGATTGAGCCCCACATTGGGCTCTCTGCTCAGCAGGGAGTCTGCTTCCCTTCCTCTCTGCCTGCCTCTCTGCCTAATTGTGATCTCTGTCTGTCAAATAAATAAAATCTTAAAAAAAAAAAAATTGCTCTGTGGAGTGCCTATGTGGCTCAGTCAGTTAAGTGTCAGACTTTTGATTTTAGTTCATGTCATGATCTCAGGGTTGTGAGATCAAGACCTGCATCAGACTCCATGCCTGCTTGGGATTCTCTTTCTTCCTTTCACCCCTCCCTGCTTGCACTCTTTCACTCTCTCTAAAAAATAAAATGCTTTGTTTTCTTGGAACATTTGATAACTCTGGCCACTCTCTCCAATAGCTATATAAAGGAATTTTTTTAAAAAAGTGAATGCTGGGGCACCTGCCTGGCTCGGTTGGTAGAGCACGTGACTCTTGATCTTAGGGTTATGAGTTTGAGCCCCACATTTGGTGTAGAGATTACTTAAAAAATAAAATCTTTATAAATTAATAGTCAAAGCTGTTGGAGTGCCTGGCTGGCTCAGTTGGTAGAGTATGTGACTCTTGATCTTGGGGTCATGAGTTCAAGCCTGCTAGGTATAGAGCTTACTATAAATAAGCAAATACATGCATATATATATATATATATATATATATATATATATACACATACAGTTTATAAAAACTCAAAGCTCTTATATGATCTTTCAGTTTCCTCCTCTTCCTTGTCACTGTTGGAGTCCTCTGACTTTGCATTCCAATAGGAACAGGCTGATATCAAGGGGTGCTTCACAACTAATGTAATAAAATTTCTCTTTGTTTTCTTTCTGGAAATTTTCCTTTTTCCTGGATTCCATGGCTTTCTCTTTTATGATTTGTCCTAATATATGTGTTTTGGTTTTTTAAGAAGATTTTATTTATTTATTTGACAGAGAGACAGTGAGAACAGGAACATAAGCAGGGGGAGTTGGAGAGGGTTTGCGGGCTTCCCATGAGCCAGAGAGCCCTATATGGGGCTCAATCCCAGTACCTTAGGATCATGACCTGAACTGAAGGCAAATGCTTAACAACTGAGCCACTCAGGCCCCTCATCCTAATATTTGACAAAGCATATGCTTTTGTAATTTTCTGAAAAAGAAGTAAATTTTCAACTTTTTATTTTGAAATAATTATAGAATTACAGGAAATTACAAAAGTAGTACAGAGATCAGGTGCCCCCAGTGGCTGCATTTTACATGGTGTAATATCAAAACCAGGAAGTGAACATTGGAATAATATCTGCCTTCCTGTTTATCATTATCATCCTTGTAGGTTAATTCAGCTGCCCCCAAAATCAAGATTCTGAGTTCTGTTATCACAATGATCTCCCTCATGCTACCTTGTGAAGTCACACTTATTCCACTCACATTTCCTGTGAGTTCAGTTCTTTTAAATTTGTTGAGGTTTATCGTATGCCCCCCAGTGTGTATTCTGCTGTTGTTGGGTGGAGTGTTCTCTAAATGTCAGTTCTATTGTGTTGGTTGATGGTGGTGTTGACCTCTCTATTCTTACTGATTTTCTGTCTAGTTTTATCAAGTGTTGAGAGAACAGTATTGACGTCTCCAAATGTTATGGTAGATTTACCTATTTCTCCTTTCAGTTCTTTTTTTCTTAAGATTTTAAGTAATAGTTCCACCCAGTGTAGGGCTCAAACTCACAATCCCAAGATCAAGATTTGCATGCTTTCCTGACAAAGTCAGCCAGGCCCCCCTCTCCTTTCAGTTCTATTAGATTTTTTTAAATCCATGTATTTTGAAGCTCTGCTCTTTGATACATACGCATTAAGGATTACTATGTCTTCTTGGTAATTGATCCTTTTATCATGAGGTAATGTCCTTTTTGAAGCTGATAACTCTATTTCTGTTTTTGTTTTTAAGATTTTATTTATTTGACAGAGAGTGACTCAGTGAGAGAGGGAACACAAACAGAGGGAGTGGGAGAGGGAGAAGCAGGCTCTCTGCCCAGCAGGGAGCCCCATACAGGGCTCGCTCTCAGAACCCTGGGATCAGGACTTGAGCCAAAGGCAGACGCTAAACAACTGAACCACCCAGGCACCCCTGTTACAAAGTCTATCATTTTTTTTTATATCTAGCCACTCCTGCTTTCTTTTGATTAATGTTTGCATGGTCTGTCTTTTTCCATACTTTTATTTTTAACCTACATGTATCATTACCTTTGAGGTGAGTTTCTTGTAGGCAGTATATAACTGAGTCACATTTTTTAATCTACTCTCTTAGTTTCTTTAAATCGTTAAATTTAGACAACTTAAATTTAATTATTATATATTAGGGTATAAGTCTGCCATTTTATTTCTTGTTTTCTGATTGTTCTTTTTGCCCCCCCCCCACTTTCCTGTTGATTACTTGAACATTATTTAGTAAGCTCTGTGCGCAACATGGTTATTGAACTCAAGCCTCTGAGATCAAGAGTCACATGGGGGCGTCTGGGTGATTAAATTGGTTGGGTAGCTGCCTTTGGCTCAGATCATGATCTTGGAGTCCCAGGATTGAGTCCCACATCGGGCTCCCAACTTAGCAGGGAGTCTGCTTCTCCCTCTGACCCTCTCTCCTCTCATGCTCTCTCTCACTCTCTGTCAAATAAATAAATAAAATCTTAAAAAAAAAAGTCACACAGTCTACTGACTGAGCCAACCTGGTGCCCTTACTTGAACATTTTTTAGAGTCTATAGATTTGTTTAGTAGTTGCTCTAGGTATTACATTATATATGCATAACTTCACAGTCCACTAGTATAGACATTTTGTAGTTCAATAAAATGTGGAAGCCTTAAGTCCCTTTTTTAAAAGTCTGCATAAAGGGAGCACCTGGGTGGTGCAGTTGGTTAAACATCCAGCTCTTGGGGGGCACCTGGGTGGCTCAGTGGGTTAAAGCCTCTGCCTTCGGCTCGGGTCATGGTCCCAGGGTCCTGGGATCGAGCCCCACATTGGGCTCTCTGCTCCAAGGGGAGCCTGCTTTCTCCTCTCTCTCTGCCTGCCTCTCTGCCTGCTTGTGATCTCTGTCTGTCAAAGAAATAAATAAAATTAAAAAAAAAATCCAGCTCTTGGTTTCAGCTCAAGTTGTGATCTCAGGGTCATGAGATTGAACCCCAAGTTGGGCTCTGCGCTCAGTACAGACTCTCTGCTTAAGCTCTCCCTCTGCCACTCCCCCACCTCTAAAAATAAGTAAATAAATCTTTAAATACTGTGCATAAAGTCTTTAGATTCACATTTGATTGATGGTTGTCTGTATAGAATTTTAGACTGATAGTCATTTTGCTTTATGATCTTGAGGGCATTACTTCATTATCTTCTACATTCCCGTGTTGCTAATTAGAAGTCCAATGGCATTCTAATTTTTACTACTGCTATGTGACCTGTTTTTATTTTCTGGAATCTTAGTAGTATCTTCCTTTTATGTCTTATGTTCTAAAATTTACAATAAAGTCTTATTGTGGTCTTTTCATTCATGTGTTGAGCATTCCTACGGAGGTGCCCTGTTAGTCCAGAAATTTATGTCTTGCAGTTCTGGATCATTTTACTGCATTATTTCTTAGATAACATAATTGCCCACTGGTTTACCTTTCTGGAGCTGTTCTTATTCACTTGAGGAACTTTGTGGATGGATCCTTTTCTCTTATTTTCCATTTCTTTACTTTATTCTACGTCTAAGGATATTTACTCAACTTTTCGTCCTCCAGTTCTAGTGAATTTTTTTATTTTAGGTGTATTCTCATTTCTAAGATCTCTTTCTTGTTCCATGAGGTTAGATTTCTTTGATATCTTATGTTGAATGTGTTGTCCCTTTCTTCTGAGTTTTTTTTTTTGTTTTATTTATTTATTTATTTATTTAATGATTTTTTAAAAATTTTAAGTAGGCTTCATGCCCCAGAGAGCTCAAACTCACAACCAGTGAAATCAAGAATCACTTGCTTGGGACGCCTGGGTGGCTCAGTTGGTTGAGCGGCTGCCTTCGGCTCAGGTCATGATCCTAGCGTCCTGGGATCGAGTCCCGCATAGGGCTCCTTGCTCGGCGGGGAGCCTGCTTCTCCCTCTGCCTCTGCCTGCCATTCTGTCTGCCTGTGCTCGCTCGCTCTCTCTCCCTCTCTGACAAATAAATAAAATCTTAAAAAAAAAAAAAAAAAAAAGAATCACTTGCTTTATCGACTGAGCCAGCCAAGCACCCCTTTGGGATTTTTTTTTTTTTTAAAGATTTTATTTATTTATTTGACAGTCAGAGATCACAAGTAGGCAGAGAGGCAGGCAAAGAGAGAGGAAGGGAAGCAGGCTCCCTGCTGAGCAGAGAGCCCGATGCGGGGCTCGATCCCAGGACCCTGGGATCATGACCTGAGCCGAAGGCAGAGGCTTTAACCCACTGAGCCACCCAGGCGCCCCTGAGATTTTATTTTTAAGTAATCTCTACACCTACCATGGAACTCAAACTTACAACCCCAGAATCAAGAGTTGCATGCTCCACCAACTCAGCCAGCCAGGTGCTCTTTTTCTGTTTTAATCTTTGTCTTTCAGTTGGAGGATTTCCTCATATGTTGGCTTATTCTTGGATATCCACATATATTTGAATAAAAATGAAACTAAAAATGAAATGTTAATAAACCCTTATGGTGACTGAGCAGTTTGCTTCAAAGCTTTGTATGTAAGAATGAGAATGTAAGTCCAGCAGTCTCATGGGACCATGTAGTATTAGGGATCTTCAACTCTTGGTGTCTTTTTTAAGATTTTATTTATTTATTAGAGTGAGAGGGAGCACGAGCAGGGTGAGGGGCATAGGGAGAAGCAGACTCCTTGCTGTGCAGGGAGCCCTATGTGGGGCTCAATCCCAGGACACCAGGATCATGACCTGAGCTGAAGACAGACACTTAACTGACTAAGCCACCCAGACACCCAGCTGTTGGTGTCCTTAATGTTCTTCTGAAATATTTCTGTTTCTGTAGAGAAGTATCTGCTCATCTCTTACCTGAACACTGGTATTGTGGAGCAGAGCAAAGAAGGGAAACTTGGTCTCACAATGCAGTATGCAGACTTTCACATAAAACCACAGTCTCTTCTATGCCTGGTGTTCTCAAGCTCCACATCTCCCTAATTCAGAATGGGGCTTGAGTGGGGACTTGAGTTCTAACTACAACAGACTTTCAAATCATCCATTCACATTAGCCCCTGCCTAATCTCTACTTTCCATTTTATCTATGCCCTCAGTTGCTGTATTTTTCCTAGGTTGTATGGAACAAATTCAGTAATTCTAAGTGTCTCTCTTGAGGCCCTTGTTTGACCATCCTACTTTCCACTAAGTAATTTGTCATGTACTCTAGTTTGTAGTTACAGCTGACTTCTAGTTTTATCCAAGGTAGTTTCTGTTTCTTATTCTCTTTGCTGATTTGGCATGATACTTGAGAAAGGATGGTGACAAACACTTTTTAAAATGAAAATTTATGTTAAATCATTCCCCCCCTTTTTTTAAAGATGTATTTATTTACATTTAGAGTGTGCCCATGAGCGGGAAGTCGGGAGAGGGGCTGCGGTTTGAAGGAGGAGGGGCAGTGGGAGAGAGAGAATCTCAAGCACAACCCCACTGAGCGTAGAGCCCAACTCAGGACTTGATCTCAGGACTCTGAGATCATGACCTGAGCCGAAGCCGAGAGTAGGATACTTAACCTACTGAGCCACCAAGGCCCCAGCTTATGTTAAATCTTAAACTCAGTAGTAAGCAGGACTTTTATCTTCTTTTTTTTTTTTTTTAATTTATTTATTTTTTTTTTTGACAGACAAAGATCACAAGTAGGCAGAGAGGCAGGCAAAGAGAGGAGGAAGCAGGCTCCCTGCTGAGCAGAGAGCCCGATGCGGGGCTCGATCCCAGGACCCTGGGATCATGACCTGAGCTGAAGGCAGAGGCTTTAACCCACTGAGCCACCCAGGCGCCCCAGGAGTTTTATCTCCTTAATAAAATACTTTTCTGAACTTTTAAAAAGTTTTAGCTGTGACATTATACCTTTGATTTTAGTGTTTTGATTAATAAATTTTTATGTTGATGAAACAGTTGTCCTAAAACTGGTGTTTAAACAAATGGAACCAAAGTAAAAAAAATGGAACTAATCCTGATGCTTCCACTTGATGGGAATATTGACTGTTTTTTTATTTCAACGCAGATTGTTGTGTATGCCTCATTTAAATATAAGATCTACCATTGAGCAAGATTATATTTTTTAAGAAAACTCTATCAGTTTGAGAACTCAAGTTTTTATCTTTGATAATCTGGTATAATATAATGTACAGAAATTATTTTATCTTGTTTCTATAGTCATCTTTATAGAATGGCAAAGGCTGAAATTGCTGAGAAATATTAAACTGATTTTTCTGTTCTCCAAGGTTCTTTTAGAGCAGGATATATTTCATCATTCCTTGATGGCCTGTTGTTTGGAAATTGTGCTCTTTGCCTATAGTTCACCTCGTACTTTCCCCTGGATTATTGAAGTTCTCAATTTACGACCATTTTATTTTTATAAGGTGAGATGAGAGCTACAATAACATTTAATGTTACCTAGTGTCCTAATTTAAGACTGGTGCCACTATTATACTTATTGGTATGACTTAGTTAATATTTTGTCATCTATGCTACTTTCAAAGTATTGATAGGAAAGTTAGTTTGAAGAGTTAAATTTTTATACCTAAGATATGCCTAAAGTTTTGGAAAATGCAGATCATTGGAAAGCTTACGCATTTGAATTGCTTACTGAGTGGGGTTTTTTGTTTTGTTTTGTTTTGTTTTTTAAGATTTTATTTATTTATTTGACAGACAGAGATCACAGGTAGGCAGAGAGGCAGGCAGAGAGAGAGGGGGAAGCAGGCTCCCCGCTGAGCAGAGAGCCCGACGTGGGGCTGGATCCCAGGACCCTGGGATCATGACCTGAGCCAAAGGCAGAGGCCTTAACCCACTGAGCCACCCAGGCGCCCCCTGAGTGGGGTTTAAATATTTTTTTAGTGACTTAAGGAAAATTGCTTCTGTATATTTGCTTCAATGTTGATGTGTGTTTTCTCATGTTTCTTTTAGGAAGTTAAGGTAATTTTATTCAGGACAATGTTGTTTTTGACCTTATCTGATAGCAACTCATTTTTATTTGTAACATACTTTTTTTTTCTTTTTTAAGATTTATTTATTTATTTGACAGAGAGATAGAGAGAGAGCACAAGTAGGCAGAGCGGCAGGCAGAGGGAGAGGGAGAAGCAGGCTCTCCACTGAGCAGGGAGCCCAATGCGGTGCTTGATCCCAGAACCCTGGGATCATGACCTGAGCAGAAGGCAACCACTTAAGCAACTGAGCCACCCAGGCACCCCTGTAACATACTTTTTTCATTCAAAAAGTTAAATGCCTGGTGCCTGGGTGGCTCAGTGGGTTGGGCCTCTGCCTTCGGCTCAGGTCATGATCTCAGATCCTGGGATCGAGTACCGCATCGGGCTCTTTGCTCTGCAAGGAGCCTGTCTCCTCCTCTCTCTCTCTGTGCCTGCCTCTCTGCCTACTTGTGATCTCTCTGTCAAATAAATAAATAAATTCTTAAAAAAAAAAAAAGTTAAATGCCTTTGTTTTTTAATCACATAAATGATACATTCTCCTTGAAGAAAAACAGGAAATATATATAAACATAAATATTAAAACCATACATTATAATCCTAATTATAAATAATAATCAATTAATACTTTTTTTTTTTAAAGTATCATTTGATAGAGACACAGCGAGAAAGGGAATACAAGCAGAGGGAGTGGGAGAGGGAGAAGCAGGCTCTCCACTGAGCAGGGAGCCCGATGCGGGGCTCGATCCCAGAACCCTGGGATCATGACCTGAGCCGAAGGCAGACACTTAATGACTGAGCCACCCAGGTGCCCCTCACTTAATACTTTTGTGTATATACTTACAGACTTTGTTCTAGGATTTACTCTTATTAAAATGGAATTATAGGGGCGTCTGGGTGGCTCAGTGGGTTAAGCCTCTGACTTCAGCTCAGGTCATGATCTCAGGGTCCTGGGATCGAGCCCCGCATCGGGCTCTCTGCTCAGCAGGGAGCCTGCTTCCTCCTCTCTCTCTGCCTGCCTCTCTGTCTACTTTGTCTGTCAAATAAATAAATAAAATCTTTAAAAAAAAAAAAAGGAATTATATAAGCATTTTAAATGTTATTTTAAATATGTTATATAAGTTACATGTTATATATAAATATATAATATAAATATGTTATATATGTTATTTTAAATATATAAGCATTTTAAATACGTTATTCATTCTGTTCTTTTGAGCTATTGGGAAAAATAGTCTGAGAATGAGCAGTAAATTCAAAATAGCATAAGAAGTGGAACCCAAGACCTGAGTTCTACCACTACTGAGCTGTTGACTAGTTTCCACCGATCATTGCCTCATTTTTCCATGTACACAAAAAGCATAAGAAGCAGAAATGTATGTGAAAGTATTTTGAAGATCTTCAGAACTCCTTTATAAATTAAAAGACATTAATAAGCCATTGAATCATGGTTCAATGGTATCATTGGTTCTGTGTCATCATAAGACCAAAGCTAGTCATACATGCAGGCCCAGTATACTAATGACTGAGACTATATTACCTTTTCAATTTTCTCTTTACCAGGTTATTGAGGTGGTGATCCGCTCAGAGGAGGGACTCTCCAGGGATATGGTGAAACACCTGAACAGCATCGAAGAACAGATATTAGAGAGTTTAGCATGGAGTCATGATTCTGCACTGTGGGAGGCTCTCCAGGCTTCAGCAAACAAGGTTCCTACCTGTGAAGAAGTGAGTCAGGGCAAGAGTGATAATCAGAGTCAGGGCAAGGGTGATAATCATTTAAAAAATAACAGCTGTAAAAAAAATAAATAAATAAAATAACAGCTGTATTGAGATAGAACTCACATACCATACAATTCATCCATTTAAAGTACACAATTTAGGGGCTTCTGCCTGGCATAATCGGTAGAGCATGCAGCTCTTGATCTTGGGGTAGTGAGTTTGGGCCCCACGTTGGGTGTGGACATTACTTCAAAACAAAACAAAAAAACCCAAACAAGGTGTGCTTGGGTAGCTCAGTCAGTTAAGTGTCCAACTCTTGATTTCAGCCCAGGTCATGATCTCAGTGTCCTGCTCAGTGGGGAGTCTGCTGGAGATTCTTTCTCTCTCCACCCACTTGCATGCACCCTCTCTCCCAAAAAATAAATAATTTAAAAAGCATACAATTTAGTGTTTAGTACATGCATATATAGGTGCAGCCATCACCTCAACAAGTAACTGTACCTATTAACTGTCACTTCCTTATCTCCCTTCCTCTCCCTAGTCCTAAACAACCAGTGATCTACTTTCCATCTTTATTGATTTGTCTATTCTGGACATTTCATATATGTGGAATCATATAATATGTGTCCTTTGTGACTGGCTTCTTTCACTTAGCATAATGTTTTCAAGATTCATCCATGTTATAGGATATATTAGCACTTCATTTCTTTCCGTGGCTTAATATTCCATTGCATGGATATATCATTTCATTCCTCCATTTATTAACCAATAGACATTTGGGTTGTTTTAGCCTTTGGCTTCTATGAATAATGCTGCTGTGAACATTCATGCACAAGTTTTGTATGGACATAGGTTCTTATTTGTGGGGGGTATATATCTAGGAATGGAATTGCTGGGTCATGTAGTAACTCTGTTTAACTCCAGTTTGGGGGAACTGTCAGACTCTTCTCAAAGTGGCTGCATCATTTAACATTCCCACCATCAGTGAATGAAGAATCCGATTTCTTCATATTTTCTCTAACACTTACCTTTATTTTTTCCCCTAACACTTATCTTTGTTATTCTAGCTATTAGTAGGCATGAAGTAATAGCTCATTGTGATTTCTATTTACATTTCCCTGATGGCTAATGATGCTCAGTGTCTTTTCTTTGGAATAATATCTATCCAAATCCATTGCCCATTTTTTTTTAAGATTTTATTTATTTATTTGACAGAGAGATCACAAGCAGACAGAGAGGCAGGCAGAGAGAGAGAAAGAGAGAGAGGGAAGCAGGCTCCCCGCTGAGCAGAGAGCCCGATGCGGGACTCGATCCCAGCACCCTGAGATCATGACCCGAGCCAAAGGCAGCGGCTTAACCCACTGAGCCACTCAGGCGCCCCCATTGCCCATTTTTTAATTGGGTTTTTTTTATTACTGAATTATAGGAGTCCTTTATGTATTATAAATACAACTACAACTTTTAATTTTGATGATGTCCTATATTTTTTCTTTTATTGTTGGTACTTTTGAAGTCTTATCCAAGAAGCCCATTAATTTTATCATTTTTAGCTTTTGGAATTTCTGTCTAAAAAACATTTTGGGGGCACCTGGGTGGCTCAGTGGGTTAAGCCTCTGCCTTCAGCTCAGGTCGTGATCTCAGGGTCCTGGGATCGAGTCCCACATTGGGCTCTCTGTTCCGCAGGGAGCCTGCTACTTCCTCTCTCTCTCTCTCTCTCTCTGCTTGCCTCTCTGCCCTCTTGTGATCTCTCTCTGTCAAATAAATAAAATCTTATAAAAAAAATTTTTTTTTGGTTAGTAGTAGTTAAAATTGAAAAAAATCAGAAGTCACGAATACAAGTGACACATTTCAGTTTAATGTTAGGTGAGAAATTGAGTTTTTTCCCCTTTACCTCTTTGTTCCTTTTTTTTTTTTTTTTGACAGAGATCACAAGTAGGCAGAGAGGCGGGCAGAGAGAGAGAGAGCAAGAAGCAGGCTCTCTACTGAGCAGAGAACCCGATGCAGGGCTCGATCGCAGGACCCTGAGATCATGACCTGCTTAACCCACTGAGCCACCCAGGCACCCCTGTGTTGCTCTTTTGTAACTCCTGTCTTTTCATCCTTATTTGCTTTTCTGTGTCTTCTTATACTTCATGAAACCTGAGAATTTTTCTCTAATTCCAAACTACTGGAAGGACTATCCAAGAGCAGAAAGAACTAAAAAGGAGATGATTTTTATTTTTTAAGATTTTATTTATTTATTTGACAGAGACACAGCAAGAGAAGGAACACAGCAGAGGGAGTGGGAGAGGGAGAAAACAGGCCTCCCACTGAGCAGGGGACCCCACATGGGGCTTGATCCCAGGATACTGGGATCATGACCCAAGGCAGAGGCTTAACAACTGAGCCACCCAAGTACCCCAAGAAGATGACTTCTTGAAATCTCTCTCCCGTGCACTTTTGGACTTTGTAACAAACTGGGATTAACTGGGCAATCTTCAGTAATCATCAATAGCTCCATTGTAGAATCCCTTGGGAAAGTGAAAAAAAAATCTCTCTGAACTTGAAGAAAGAGGATTTGGGTTAAAGCCCTTACTCTGTTATTTAATAGTAGTGCGTCCTTGGGCAAATTTCATATTTTGAGCCTGTTCATTTTTTGTGGTTTTTTTTTTTAAGATTTCATTTATTTGAGAGAGTGACAGAGAGAGAGAGAGAGAGAAAAAGAGCGTGAGCATGGGGGGGTACGCAGAGGGAGACACAGACTCACCGCTGAGCAGGAGCCTGATGCCGGATGCGATTCTGGGACTCTGGGATCATGATCTGAGCTGAAGGCAGTCACTTAACCAACTGAGCCACCCAGGCACCCAAGCCTCTATTTTCTTATCCTTAAGTGGAAATAGTACCTACCTAATCAGTTTGCTTCTAGAAGTAGTCAATAAACTTAAGTAGATCAATTATAAGATTGAAATATATATAACAGCATTAACTATTGAGCACTTAATTCAAGTTGTTCTATTTTGTGAACAAGAAAGAAGAGAAATAAAACATTTAAAGTAGTTAAAAAGACTTTTTTCTCATTTTCCGTGGTTTTCATTAGTGGGTATATCAATATGTAAAGCAGAAGGTTTTTGTTTTTCACAGGTTATATTCCCAAATAACTTTGAAACAGGAAATGGGGGAAATGTACAGGGACATCTTCCCATGATGCCTATGTCTCCTCTAATACATCCAAGAGTCAAAGAAGTTCGGACTGACAGTGGGAGTCTTCGAAGAGGTAGGTTCAACATGGGGAAAACAGTGAACAGAATAACAAAGATAATTTTCTCTGAGAAGGTATCAAGTCTTGCTCATATATTATTATGAAATCTGATTTCTTCATCAGGATTTTTTTTCTTCATCAGGATTTAAAAGGGGACTTATAAAAATAATTAAATCGGTCAGGTCACGATCCCAGGGTCCTGGGCTCAAGCCCCGCATTGGGCTCCTTACTCAGTAGGGAGCCTGCTTCTCCTCTCCCTCTCCCTCTGCCTGCTGCTCCCCCTGCTTGGGTGATCTTGCTCTCTCTCTCTCAAATAAATAAATAAAGTCTTCAAAAAAAAAAAAAAAAAATTAAAGGGGCACCTGGGTGGCTCAGTCAGTGGAACATCTGAGTCATGGTTTCAGCTCAAGTCATGATCTTGGGGTCCTGGGATAGAGCCCCACATCAGGCTCCACGCTCAGCATAGAATCTGCTTGTCCCTCTCCCTCTGCTCCTCCCGCCATTCATACCCTCACTCTCTCTCTAATAAATAAATGAATAATATAAATGAATAAATAAATAAAAACTTTAAAAAATAATTTTTTTAATGAAAAAATAAGAAGGGACTTCTGCCAACACCCTTTTGTGGCCCATTGTATAGTTTCTCATACCAAAGTAATAAGATTTTCACTCTGATTTTTTTTTTTTTTTTTTTAAGAAAGAGAGAGAGTGGGGAGGGCATTGGAGGGGCAGGGGAAGAGGGAGAGAGAGAACCTCAGGCAGCACAGAGCAGGATGCGGGGCTCTATCTCACAGCCCTGTTGCTCTGATTTTTAATTTCTATTTTTTAAATTGCCATGTTAATTGTGGAAAGAGTATTTTAGCCTTTTAATAAACACATAACTTTTCTTTTTCTGGGATTTTATTTATGTGAGGGGGAGGGTCAGAGAGAGAGAGAGAAAGAATCTCAAACAGATACCACACTGAGCCTGAGGCCCAACACAGGGCTTGAGCTCATGACCTGAGCCAAATCAAGAGTAGGATCCTCAACTGAGCCACCCAGTACCCCAACATACAGCTTTTCTTTTTTTTTTAAGATTTTATTTATTGGGGCGCCTGGTAGGCTCAGTGAGTTAAGCCTCTGCCTTTGGCTCAGATCATGATCTCAGGGTCTTGGGATCAAGCCCTGAGTTGGGCTCTCTGCTCAACAGGGAGGCTGCTTCCACCTTTCTCTCTGCCTCCCTCTCTGCCTTCTTGTGATCTCTCTGTCAAATAAATAAAAATCTTTTTTAAAAAATCATTTTATTTATTTATTAGAGAGCAAGCCTGAGCTGGGGGAGGAGAAGGACAGAGTGAGACAGAGATGCAGGCCCCCCACTGAGCAGGGACCCTAATGCAGGGCTCAATCTCAGGACCCTGGTATCATGACCTGAACTGAAGGCAGATGCTTAACCAACTGAGCCACTCAGGCACCCCAATATACAGCTTTTCTAAATGCTAATGGAAAACTATGTAAATAAGCAAAATACCTACTTTTCAAATGTGACAGAAGTTATATTCTTTTTCTGTCTCTGTATGTCAGTAGAAAGATATATGTTTAAAGCAGAGGGGCACTTGGGTGGCTCAGTTGGTTGAGCATCCAATTTTTTATTTTTTATTTTTTATTAACATATAATGTATTATTAGCCCCAGGGGTACAGGTCTGTGAATCGCCAGGTTTACACACTTCACAGCACTCACCATAGCACATACCTTCCCCAATGTCCATAACCCAACCACCTCCTCCCTAACCCCCTCCTGGCAACCCTCAGTTTGTTTTGTGAGATTAAGAGTCTGTTATGGTTTGTCTCCCTGCCGATCCCATCTTGTTTCATTTTTTTCTTCCCTACCCCCCAGAACCCCCACTTTGCCTCTCAACTTCCTCATATCAGGGAGATCATATGATAATTGTCTTTCTCTGATTGACTTATTTCACTCAGCATACTAGCCTCTAGTTCTATACATGTCATCTCAAATGGCAAGATTTCATTTCTTTTGATGGCTGCATAGTATTCCATTGTATATATATACCACATCTTTTTTATCCATTCATCTTTTGATGGACATCTAGGTTCTTTTCATAGTTTGGCTATTGTGGACATTGCTGCTATAAACATTTGGGTGTACATGCCTCTTCAGATCACTATGTTTGTATCTTTAGGGTAAATACCTAGTAGTGCAATTGCTGGGTCGTAGGGTAGTTCTATTTTCAACTTTTAGAGAAACCTCCATGCTGTTTTCCAGAGTGACTGCACCAGCTTGCATTCCCACCAACAGTGTAGGAGGGTTCCCCTTTCTCCCCATCTTTGCTGGCATCTGTCATTTCCGGACTTGATAATTTTAGCCATTCTGATTGGCGTGAGGTGATATCTCATTTGAGGTGGTTTTGATTTGTATTTTCCTGATGCCGAGTGATGTGGAGCACTTTTTCATATGTCTGTTGGCCATCTGGATGTCTTCTTTGCAGAAATGTCTGTTCATGTCTTCTGCCCATTTCTTGATTGGATTATTTGTTCTTTGGGTGTTGAGTTTGGTAAGTTCTTTATAGATTTTGGATACTAGCCCTTTATCTGATAGAGCATCCAGTTCTTGATCTTAGCTCAGGTCTTGATATGAAGACCATGAGTTCAAGCCCTGCATTGGGCTCTACACTGGGCATAGAGCCTATTGTTTAAAAAGTTGTGTGTGTGTGTGTGTGTGTGTGTGTGTGTGTGTGTATTTGAACCAGAGCAACAATACTCTTTGGGGGTGCTTAAATTCAGCTAATAAATAACTTTATCCATACTCTCTTAAGATGGTTACTTTGAGCCTTACTTCTAGGAAGATTTTAATGCATTTTCCTTATTTTCTCTTATGTATGCATCTGATAAGTGCATCTTCTGGTTTATATGGCTCTTTGGTGTTGTTTTTTTTTGGGGGGTGGGTTGTTGTTTTTTTTTTGTTTTTAGTCAGTTAAAGTCTTTTGCTCACATATCCGTGAAGTAACTTCTGATGAGCAAGTATTTAGGTTTCACAAAGCTCTTGATCCTTTTTTGGACTATAATTTTGTGTATGTATGCAGGCACATTGATAGTCTTTGCTTTACGTGTAGTGTAAGATAAAAATATGCAAGCTCTGGGGCGCCTGGGTGGCTCAGTGGGCTAAAGCTTCTGCCTTCGGCTCAGGTCATGATCCCAGGGTCCTGGGATCGAGCCCCGCATCAGGCTCTCTGCTCAGCAGGGAGCCTGCTTCCCTTCTTCTCTCTCTGTCTACCTCTCTGCCTACTTGTGATCTCTGTCTGTCAAATAAATAAATAAAATCTTTTAAAAAAAATATGCAAGCTGTGCAGAATAAACAATCTTCATAAGCAATGGAAATGATTTAGATTATTTTATGACTTTTAAGAAATCTTTTTAAAAGTTTTTAAAACTATCAGTCATTAGGAGCACTGGGTAGAGTATGTGACTCTTCATCTTGGGGTCATGAGTTCAAGCCCCCTGTTGGGTGTAGAGATTACTTTAAAAAATGAATAATTAGGGGCGCCTGGGTGGCTCAGTGGGTTAAAGCCTCTGCCTTCCACTCAAGTCATGATCCCAGGGTCCTGGAATCAAGCCCACATCAGGCTCCCTGCTCAGTGGGGAACCGCTTCTCCCTCTCGATATTTCCCTCCCCCTCATGCTCTTTCATTGCTCTCTCTCACTTTCAAATAAATAAAATCCTTAAAAAAAAAAAAAAAGAGGGGTGCCTGAGTGGCTCAGTGGGTTAGGCCTCTGCCTTCAGCTCGGGTCATGATCTCAGGGTCCTGGGATTGAGCCCCATGTCCGGCTCTCTGCTCGGCGGGAAGCCTGCTTTGCCCCCTATCTCTGCCTGCCTCTGCCTACTTGTGATCTCTCTCTGTCAAATAAATAAATAAAATCTTTAAAAAAAATAAAATAAAATAAAAAATAAAGAGGCACCTGGCTGGCTCAGTTGGTTAAGCATCCGACTCTTGATTTTTGGCTCTGGTCATGATCTCTGGGTCGTGAGATTGAGCCCTGCTTCTGTTCTGTGCTAGGTATGGAACCCGCTTGGGATTCTCCTTCTTCCTCTCCCTCTCCTTTTGCTCCTCCCCCACCCCATGTGCACATGCTTGCTCACTGGCTTTCTCTCTCTGGCACATGCTCTCTTGCTATCTCTCAAAAAAAATAAAAATAAAAGCATATCGTTTTCCTGTAAAGAAACAATGGGTTGGGGAAAGTAAGGATTATAGAAAAAGATACAGGGTTCTGGGGGTCTAGGAGAATCTTTGCACCTGGTAGAAAGGGAAGGCTTCTCCTGTGGAAAGAGCACTGAAAATAGATATAAACTATAACTTTCTTTTTGATCAACATACTACTGCCAACCCTCAGATTAAGGCAAGCTAAACAGTATCATATCACCTTTACTCATCTTTATCTTCTAGAGGGCTCATAAAAGATGACTGTGTATCTTCTAAATCAGAAAGCCATAGTACCTTAAACTGCTTAAGTATGGGCATGTGGGAGGAGGCAAACTGAACCAAATTACTGATTTACCTTCTTCTTAGATGTTATTTACTAGGTAAAACTGGGAGATAGGAGCTAATTGGACTATTTTAATTTACTGGTCACCTCATTCTACCTTTTAGCTTCTACTATACCCTTAATGTTTTGCTCCTTTAATAGTAGGCAGAGGTTCAAGAAATCAAGAAAATGAGCCATCATAATTTTCACATGTAATGACTTTTTTCATGCCTCTTTCACTAGACTATATTCCATGAAGACAGAAGCCATGTTATTTACTGCTGAATCCCTAGGGCTTAACATAGTAACTCAAAGTCTCTATTTGTTATGTGAATGTACCTGATTTATTATTTTGGAATATGTATCAAACTGTTTTGAATTTATTTTTCTCTCTATTAGATATGCAACCATTGTCTCCAATTTCTGTCCATGAACGCTACAGTTCTCCTACTGCGGGGAGTGCCAAGAGAAGACTTTTTGGGGAAGACCCACCAAAGGAAATACTTATGGACCGGATCATAACCGAAGGAACAAAATTGAAAATTGCCCCTTCTTCAAGCCTTACTACTGAAAATATATCAATTTCCCCTGGGCAGAGTCTTCTAACTATGGCCACAGCCATAGTCACAGGAACAACAGGACATAAAGTTACAATCCCATTGCACGGTAACATTTTAATGCATTTATTTTCTATTTTTTCTGAATTAGTTAATTAAGATTTGTCTTGCTGGATTGGATCACATGGCATTTTTTAATCCAGTTTCTTTTGAACCTATACTGTTTTTTAAAATTTATCATTTTAGAGCAGTTTTGGGTTCAAAGCAAAATTGAGTTGAAGGTATAGAGATTTCCCATACACACAGTGCCCCCCGACACACACACACAGCTTTCATCACCATCATCATCCTGCACCAGAATGGTATATTTGTTACAGTTAATGAACTTACATTGACACATCCTTATCACCTCAAGTCCATAGTTTACATTATGGTTTACTCTTGCTATTATACATTCTGTAGTTTCTATGTTTAATGACACATAGCCACCATTATAGTATTATACAGAATAGTTTCGCTGCCATAAAAATCCTCTGTGCTCTACCTTTTGTTTCATTTTGAACTTACACTGTTTATTGAGTTTTAACATTTTTTAAATATACAACCCTTGGGGTGCCTGGGTGGCTCAGTGGGTTAAAGCCTATGCCTTCGGCTCAGGTTATGATCCCAGGGTCCTGGGATCAAGCCCTGCATCAGGCTCTCTGCTTAGCAGGGAGCCTGCTTCCCCCTCTCTCTCTGCCTGCCTCTCTGCCTACTTGTGATCTCTCTCTGTCAAATAAATAAATAAAATCTTAAAAAAAAAAATACAACCCTTTTTGTTGGAACTTATTTTCTTATATGAGCTTTACAAATTATTAAAAACATCTCTGTAAGAACTCAAAAGTTCAAAAGAAAAACAATATTGTTTCAGAGCAGAAATAGAAAACAAGAGTGCTGTAACCTAGAATTCTTATTTTTGTGGCTTTCATCTCCTTTTCTAACCTATTCCTATGTTTATACACATAGATAGATTGATAGATATAATTGACAACCTTTCTGGAACACATGCTGCTTATTTCTAAAACTGAAAACTCTTGCTTATACATTTAGGTATCGCAAATGATGCTGGAGAGATCACACTGATACCAATTTCCATGAACACAGCTCAGGAGTCCAAAGTCGAGAGTCCTGTATCACTTACTGCTCAGTCATTAATTGGTGCTTCTCCGAAACAGACCCATCTGACTAAAGTGCAAGAGGCACATCCAACTGGAATAAGCAAACCAAAGAGAACTGGGTCTTTAGCACTGTTTTATAGAAAGGTATGTGATTTTATGGCATCCAAAATATCTCATTTGGGGTGTGTGGTTGGCTCAGTGGAACCTGGGACGCTTGATCATAGGGTTGTAAGTTCTTGCCCTATACTGGATATAGCGATTATTTAAAAATAAAATATTTTAAGGGGCGCCTGTCTGGCTAAGTCAGTTAAATATCTGCCTTTGGCTCAGGTCATGATCCCAGAGTCCTAGGATTGAGCCCCACATCGGGCTCCCGGCTCAATGGGGGTCTTGCTTTTCTCCCTCTACTGCTCCCCCTGCTTGTGCGCGCTCTCTCTCTGTCAAATAAATAGATAAAATCTTTTTAAAAAGTAAATAAAGGGGCGCCTGGGTGGCTCAGTGAGTTAAAGCCTCTGCCTTCGCTCAGGTCATGATCTCAGGGTCCTGGGATCAAGCCCCGAATTGGGCTCTCTGCTCAGCAGGGAGTCTGCTTCCTCCTCTATCTTTCTGCCTGCCTCTCTGCCTACTTGTGATCTCTGTCTGTCAAATAAATAAATAAAATCTTCAAAAAAATAAATAAAAAGTAAATAAAAATAAAATGATCTCATTTAATCAGCGCAAGAAAGATTGAGTAACAGAGCAGCTTTAGCCTCCTTTTTTGTGTGGTAAAATATACATAAAATTTACCATTTTAACCATATTTTAGTGTACAGTGAAGTATCATTAAGTACATTCACATTGTTGCGCAGCTTTCACCATCATCCAGTTCCAGAACTTTTTCATCTTCCTACACTGAGAATCTCCTCCACTTAAAATAATTCCCCATTCCTCTTCCCACCACCAGTTCCTGGTAACCACCATTCTACTTTCTGTCTCTATGAATTTGACTACTCTAGGTACCTCATATAAGTAGACTCAAACAATATTTATGTTAATATGGTAAGTTTATTAATATAATTATTAATGTAATATTTTTAAAAAATATTTTATTTGTTTGTGAGAGAGAGGGTGAGAAAGAGCATGACAGGAGAGAAGGTCAGAGGGAGAAGCAGACTCCCTGTGGAGCTGGGACCCCGATGTGGGACTCAATCCTGGGACTCCAGGATCATGACCTGAGCTGAAGGCAGTTGCTTAACCAACTGAGCCACCCAGGCACCTAGTATAATATTATATTAAACAGGTTTATTCCACTTAGTGTAAGTCTTCAGGATTCTTCCATGTTGTAGCATTTTTCAGAATTTCCTTCCTTTTTAAGTCTGAATAATATCCCATTGTATGTGTATACCACATTTTGTTTATCCATTCATCTGTAGATGAACATTTGCAGTGTTTCTACTTATTGTGAATAATGCTGCTATGAACATAAGTGTACAACTATCTCTTCATGTGTCTGCTCTCAGTTCCCTTGGGTTTATACCCCGAAGTGGAATAATAATTCTGAATATAATTTTTTGAGAAAATACCATACCATTTTCCACAGTGCCTGCCCCATTTTATATTCCTGCTACAAATACATGGGTTTCCAAGTTCTCCACATCCTTGTCAACACTGTTTTCTGTTATTTTTATAGTAGCCATGCTAATTAGAATAAAGTGGTATCTCATAGTTTTGACTTGCATTTCCCTAATTATTAGTGATGTTGAGCATCTTTTCATGTGCTTATTGGCCAACTATCTGTCTTCCTTAGAGAAAGATTTATTTAAGTCCTTTGCCCATTTTTTGCTTGAGTTTTACTGTTGTTGCTATTGAGCTGTAGTTAATCCTTTATATATTCTAGATAGAACCCCTTATCAGATTTATGATTTGCAAATGTTTTCTCCCATTCCAGGCATTGCCTTTTCACCATATTGATAGTATCCTTTGATGCACAGAAGTTTCTAACTTTAATGAAGTTCAATTTCTCTTTGTTTTGCTTTACTGTCTTTGCTTTTTGTGTCATATCCAAAAAATCATCGACCGTTCCAATGTCCTGAAACTTTTCCCCATCTTTTCTCCCTAAGAGTTTTATAGTTTTAGCATTTGTGTTTAATTCCTTGATCCATTTTGAGTTAATTTTGTATATGGTCTGAGGGGAGGATCTAGCTTCATTCTTTTGCATCCATTTTCTCAACACCATTTGTTGAAAAGACCGTTGTTTCTCCTTTGAATGGTCTTGGCACCATTTTCATAAGCCATTGCACCATATATGTGAGGGCTGATTTCTGGGCTCTTTTTTAAGCATTGTCCTTTTTATGTCTGTCTATATGCCAGTACTATACTGTTTTGATTACTGTAACTTTGTAGTAAGTTTTGAAATTAGGAAATATGAGCCCTCCCAGCTTTGTTCTTTTTCAAGATTATTTTGGTTATTCAGAGTTCCTTGAGATTCCATATGACTTTAAGAATGGATTTTTCTTTTTCTTTTCTTTTTTTTTGATGGATTTTTTAAAATTTTTATTTATTTATTTGTCAGAGAAAGAGCACACACAAGCACAAGCTGGGGCTGCGGCAGGCAGAGGGAGAAGCAGGCTCCCTGCTGAGCAAGGATCCCAATGCAGGACTCAGTCCCAGGACTCTGGGATCATGACCTGAGCTGAAGGCAAACACTTAACTGACTGAAGCCACCCAGGCATCCCTAGGATGGATTTTTCTATTTCTGCAAAAAACATCATGGAGATTTTGATAGGGATTGCATTGAATCTATAGAATCCTTTGAATAGTGTTGACATCTTATTACCATTACTAAGTCTTCCAGTCCATGAATATGGGATGTCTTTCCATTTATTTGTGTTTGGGGTTTTTTGGTTTGTTTTTTTGTTGTTGTTGTTTTTTAGTTAACACAGAGTGTTTTATTATTTGTCTTTAATTTCTTTAAGCAGCATTTTGCAGTTTTCAGTATATACTCTTTTACCTCCTTGGTTAAGTTGATTACTAAGTTATTTTATTCTTTTCATGATACTATAAATACAATCATTTTCTTAATTTTATTTTTGGATTATTTATTGTTTGTGGTATAGGAATGAAATAGATTTTTGTGTGATTTTTTTTTTCTAAGCTTTTATTTATTTATTCGAGAGAGAGAGCATGAGCAGGGTTGGAAGAGAGGGAAAGGGAAAGGGAGAAGCATACTCCCCACTGAGCAGGGACCTGATGCAGACCTCTATCCCAAGACCCTGAGATCAACACCTGAGCTAAAGGCAAATGCTCAACCAGGTGCCCCTGTTATGAATTATTTATTTATTTATTTAAGTAATCTCTGCACCCAACATGGGACTTGAATTTATAACCCCAAGATCAGGAGTCACCTGTTACACTGACTGAGCCAGCCAGGTGCCCCTGTATGATTTTGTAGTCTGCAACTTTGCTGAATTCGTTTATTACTTCTAACACTTTTGGGGGATTCTTTGCAGTTTTCCACACCATAAAATCATATAATCTGCAATCAGATGACTTTACTTATTTTCCAGTTTTGATGTTTTTTATTTCTTTTTCTTGCCTAATTGCTCTGGCTAGAATTTCCAGTACTGTGTTGAAAAGAAGTGCTGAAATTGGGCATTCTTGTCTTGTTCCTGATCTTAAAGGAAAAGTTTTCTTTGTTTTACTTTAAGTATGATGTTAGCTCTGGATTTTTCATATATGGCATTTATTATGTTGAGGTAGTTTTCTTCTATTCCTAGTTTGTTGAGTGTGTTATGAAAAAAAAAAGGATTTGAATTTTATCAGATGTTTTTTCTGCCTCAATCGAAATAATCTTTTTCTTTAAGATTTTATTTATTTATTTTAGAGAAAGAGAGAGCTTAGGCAGAGTGTAAGGGGTGGTGGGAGGAGAAAAGGGAGAAAGAGTCATAAGCAGACTTGAGCACAGAGGCCCATGCAGGGCTCGATCCCATGACCCTGAGAATGACCTGAGCTGAAGCCAAGAGGCGGACTCTTAACCAACTGTACCACCTAGGTGCCTCTGTCCTACCTGTTTTTAAAGCACTGTCAGCTTCTGATAAGCAAGACAAGTTAATCAGGTTTTCTAATCAAACATGACTCTTCTATGAAATAAATTCCAGAACTGGAAGATATCTCTCTAGTTTACTCTACAACTTGGCTGGCTCGCCCATTCTTAAAAATTGTAAAGGAAAAAGAAGGCACTATTTTTCAGGGAGTTTTAGCATTGAGACCAGGGTTTAGGACTTAAACATTTTAAGAAATTAATATTTTTTCTAAATTATCTTTGATGCAAATTTAAGTTTATTTCCTCTAGTCTTTTTTATCATAATTCTTGAAAACTTGCCCTTTCCTGTTTTTCCCTCTGCCTCCTCTACTCTACCTCACCAAATCCTGTCTCCCCGTTGTGCCTTTCTAAGGCTTCTTTTTTTTTTTTTCTTTTTTAAAGATTTTATTTATTTATTTGATAGAGATCACAAGTAGGCAGAGAAGCAGGCAGAGAGAGAGAGGGGCAAGCAGGCTCCCTGATGAGCAGAGAGCCTCCTGCAGGGCTCGATCCCAGGACCCTGAGATCATGACCCGAGCCAAAGGCAGAGGCTTAACCTACTGAGCCACCAACTAAGGCTTGTTTTAAAAACAGAGTTGGAAAATGCAACTTTTTTCCCATTTACTCCCTATTTTTAATGTTCAAAATGACAAATTTTGATAATCTAAGATTGACAGAAATAAATCTAAGATTGACCTGGGTGACTCAGTGGGTTAAGCCTCTGCCTTTGGCTCAGGTCATGATCTCAGGGTCCTGGGTTCGAGCCAACCATCGGGCTCTCTGCTCAGCAGGGAGCCTGCTTCCCTTCTTTCTCTCTGCCTGTCTCTCTGCCTACTTTTGAAATCTCTCTGTCATATAAATAAATAAAATCTTTAAAAAAAAAAAAAGAAAGAAAGCTTTAGTTCTGAATTTTTAATTCTGCATCTACTTCAGAATCTTTGGGTTTGTTTTTTTTTTTCCTTTCCATTTAAATGTAACCTACTTGATGGGGGACCTGGGTGGCTCAGTCAGTTAAGCATCTGCCTTCAATTCAAGGTCTACCTTCAGCTCGGGTTGTGATCCCAGGGTCCGAGGATTGAGTCCTACAATGGGCTCCTTGCTCAATAGGGAACCTGCTTCTTCCTCTGCCTACCACTCTCTCTACTCTTGCACACGGGCTTATCCTCACTCTCTCAAAAAAAAATATATATATATATTTTATGGGGCGCCTGGGTGGCTCAGTGGGTTAAGCCTCTGCCTTCAGCTCAGGTCATGATCTCAGGGTCCTGGGATTAAGCCCCGCATCAGGCTCTCTGCTCAGCAGGGAGCCTGCTTCCCTTCCTCTCTCTCTGCCTGCCTCTCTGCCTACTTGTGATCTCTGACTGTCAAATAAATAAATAAAATCTTTTAAAAAAATTTTTTTAATAAATAAAGCCTACTTGATACAGATTAGAAGCTAGAAAAATTTTATCCTAAAAGTTAATAGGATGTCTTTATCTATAAAGAGCATAATCATCCATGTCTCTAGTGAATTCAAAATAACCCTTCCCTGAGTAAACTGCAGCTATTATCTATGCTGAATTCAGTGTGATGCTGGTATTCTGTGCCAGAGTGGAATTTTCTATGAATTTTTTGTTAGAAAACTTCCAGTGGGGCGCTTGGGTGAGTCAGATGGTTAAGCATCTGCCTTTGGCTTAGGTCATGATCCCAGGGTCCTGGGATCAAGTCCTGCATCAGGCTCCCTGCTCAGGGCCTATTTCTCCCTCTCCTGCTCCCCCTTCTTGTGCTCTCTCACTCTCTCAGTCAGATAAATAAATAAAATCTTTAAAAAAAAAAAAAAAAAAGAAGATGACAACGACTCCCAGAGTATGTTTCTTTAATTCATTGGATCAACTCTGTAAAAGACACTTAACAAGTATTATCTAATTACATATTATTTTTAATCTTTTTTTTTAAGATTTTATTTATTTATTTGACAGAGAGAGATCACAAGTAGGCAGAGAGAGAGAGAGGAGGAAGCAGGCCCTCTGCTGAGCAGAGAGCCCGATGTGGGACTCGATCCCAGGACTCTGGGATTATGACCTGAGCTGAAGGCAGAGGCCTAACCCACTGAGCCACCCAGGCGCCTTATTTTTAATCTTTTTAACTAGGACTGTATCTTTCATTTCCTATCACAAATACAAAGTTCTAGCATCTTTCCCACTGCTCTGACCCAAATGGATTCTGTTTATCTCTTGGCCAGCTGGACCAGAAATAAGGAGATAGGATACAGAAAATGAGTTTGCTATAAAATTAATCAGTTGTGACTTTGGAGTCAACCACTTGTCTTTCTGTCAGATTAGTGTATTGGATAGCTTACATTTGTTGTTAAACTCTAATCTGTGGATTATATTCCTGCCAGAGATATTTTTATATAAGGGATACCTGACTCTTTTCATTATTTTTCCCTGAACATTTAAATTTAAAGACTTAGCTCAAACAGAGTAGTGTGATTTAGGAATACCACAGCAGGGTACCAGTTTTTAAAACAGTAAAACATAATTCTTCTTGGGTGATTCGAAACCATTTTAGAATCTTGCAGAAACTTCAGGGCATTTGCATTAGTATCAGTTCATATAAAGATTGTAAAAATGAGAGGCTCATGGCATTGAACTGAATTTACTCTGATGTACTTAGGAACAACAGAAACAGAAAACTTGGTATCTCATTTACTTCAGTAATACATTTATATGCTTGTGAAAACAATGTAGAATAGGAAGTTTCTTAAATGGTTTTGCCTTTTTTTTTTTTTTTAATTTCTCTTTTTAAAGATTTTATTTATTTGACAGAGAGAGAGAGAGCACACAAGCAGGGGTATGGCAGAGGAAGAGGGAGAAGCAGGCTCCCTGCTGAGCAGGGAGCCCTCTGCCGGGCTCTATCCCAGGACCCTGGGATTATGACCTTAACTAATGGCAGATGTTTAACTGACTGAGCCACTCAGGCGCCCCAGGGTTTTGCTTTCTGACTCATTCTTGAAATCAAACATTTTAGCCCTTGATTGTCTTTTTTGTTGTTGTTGTTATGATCCTATTTTTAAGTAATCTCTACACCCAGTCTGGGGCTTGAACCCACAACCCCACAATCAAGAGTTGTATGCTCCACCAACTGAGCCAGCCAGGCACCCCTATTTTCTGACACTTTAGATTTTCTAGCAATTTTATCTGAACAAAAAAAGGTGAGGGGGGGGGATTTCTGAACACTTGAAAAATTATGTATTCATTATGGTTATGATGCAAGTAAATCTTGCATTTTAGTGTTTCTTACTTCACATAGATGACAGCATAGAAGACATCTTTTCCAAAAGAATTTTTAAATGGTTTTCTAAAGAGAATTTTGTTTTAATCTACAGTCTTCTGGGATGCCTGGATGGCTCAGTTGGTTAATCATCTGCTTCTGGGTCAGGTCATGGTCTCAGGGACCTGGGATCAAGTCCCACATCCAGCTCCTTTCCCAGCAGGGAGCCTGCTTCTCCCTCTGCCTGCCACTCCCCCTGCTCGCTCTCTTTCTCTCTCTCTGACAAAATAAAGAAAATATTTTAAAAATATTTTAAAAATAATAATAATCTATAGTCTTCTGCCATAACAGTGAACTAGTACGATAGAACAGAAATTATATGTAATTTTAGATAACATTTATCAACAACCTAGGTATTTGTTAATCTTGGCCTGAAAGCCCATGTTCACAATAAGAGATAAATTAGAGAAATTATTTACTGGGTTTTTTTTTTTGCATCAATGTACTACCTTCCATCTTAGGTCTATCATTTGGCAAGTGTACGCTTACGTGATTTATGTTTAAAATTGGATGTTTCAAATGAGTTACGAAGGAAGATATGGACGTGTTTTGAATTCACTTTAGTTCACTGCCCTGATCTAATGAAAGATAGACATTTGGATCAGCTGCTCCTTTGTGCCTTTTACATCATGGCAAAGGTAACGTATAAGCTGGGGGAAGCTCTTTGTTCTAGTTACCCATTTTTGAAGCATGTAGTGAAAATCTATTGCGCTTGATTATTACTTTGCCTTAAATGCTATATGCCAACACTGCCCACCATTGTTAATTAATTAGTAAATTCCAGCCACTACATCTATTCTCTGGACTCTCCATTTCGCTTTATAATAATCAGCTTTTCCACATCATAAGAATACACTGGTTATAAAATTGGAAAAGGTTTTAGAGATCATTTGTAGTACATGGCTCTCCATACTATTCCTGTGAACAATACTATTTCCACTCCCATCCCTGTGATACCTCTCATCTAGTACTTTACAGTAAATGATCATTATGTTATAGGCTGGTAGCCTAAGCCTAGAGCTGAAAGTAACTTGTCAAAGTTACATAATTAATATATAATAATAAGTAATAACATAATAAGTGGCAACCTAGGATTTCCTATTTTATAATTTAATGAATTCGTAATTCATAAAATAGCTTCTATAACATTGCTCTCTAGGGATTTGTTGCACCACCTCAGAAGAGCATTTTACATTCTAGTTGCTACAACGTTGAATGTTTCCAGTCATAAAATAACATATGTTACTTGCTTTTTAAAATTCTGATATAGCTGAAACAATCACCTATAACTTTGGTCTGGACCATATTGACCACACTGGCAGTCCTAGTACGTGTACATAGTTAAGACCTAATTTTTAAGCTTTTGGAGGCAGAGAACATGTTTTCAGACTCCTTTTTGACTCCTCTCTCACAATGCCTTTTTATAAAATCTCTATACAAATAAATATTAATAAATGTTATTAACTAATCGTTTGTGTTTTCCAGAGAACTATCATAGTTCAGGCTTTGCCATTTCTAGCTCATCATAGAGAACAGATTTAGTGCTAATGGACTTCAGTGAAGCAGAGGGAAAGAATAACTTAAGTAAACTTTATAATAAATAGGCCAGAAAGGATACCTTTATGGATCACCAAAGCAGGCAGCCTTGGACTGGGCTAGAGTCAAGAGACCAAACCAGGCCCCGACTTGCGCCTCCTGGAAGCCCAAGGGTTAATAACCCCATGAGTGAAAAGTTGAGCAGCGCTTGAGAAAGGGCCTGAGCTATGGATCCTAAGACTCCCTGACGTGGTTGCCTGCATGTGCTTATCTGGAATGGGCAAAACAGGCCTGCTCATTAAATCATTGTGGGAATGTGCTGTCCTTGCACGGGCCATAAATTGTGTCTTAAGTTACTTTGAAGTTAGTGCATCTGGTTTAGAGTTATCTGAAGACAGAGACCACTGGCATCAGAGGGACTACTATTAGTCCTTGGGAAATAGATAATAGGGAAGCTTGAAGGGTTTTCTGTGCATGTTGCAAGTTCTTTAGTAATCAGCTAAAAATAGATACTTCCTTATAATTGTTTCTGTTAGCTATATAATGCCTCACAGCCTTGAATAAAATTGGCACTGCTTGGACATCATCCACTGTGTCCCTCCTGTCCCCATCTCTTTACGTCTCATCTTTGTCTCACCATCCTCTTACCCTCTCGACCCTGGTCATGTTGTCGCACCAGGCGTGACACACCAATCCATTTTCTTCATTTTGGCCCCCACTGTAACTTTTCTGTCTAAGCATTAGAAACCCTATAAGCTGTCCTAAAATGTTAAAAACCTCATCCTATAATAACTGCTCAGTTTTCTTGCAATCACCACAAGACATTTTCTGTCCTTTAGTATGTAGTTAATTTACTTTTAAGTAAGTAATTTAAAAGCTAGTAACATCAGAGATTACAGGGTATGCAACAGATCTGAGTTTCCTTCTATCATTCTTCTTATAAAAAGAAATGCATTTTCAGTAGAGTTATACCATAACAATATCAGTGCTTTTGATTAATGAAACTATTAGCCGAGTCCCCACAGGCCACAAAGCCTGAACTTTGAAGGTAGTAAAAATCATAAACGGTAGTAGTTTTTAGTCTTGGGTTGGCCTGGGGTTAATGGCTTTCTGCAGGACTGCTCTCAATGCCAACCTGTAATTGAAGTTTTTGTTCAGAGCCATTTTTCTTCTAAGAGCAATTGATAAATGCAGTTTTTATTTTCCTTAGGTAACAAAAGAAGAAAGAACTTTTCAAGAAATAATGAAAAGTTATAGGAATCAGCCCCAAGCTAATAGTCATGTGAGTTATATTATTTTTCCTCCTGTCCAAAAATAGATTTGTGCTGTTTCTCTGTTGACAAGTCATACAAAAGGTAAAGTTCTTTTACAGTTTTACTATTTTAGATTTTTTAGTTTAATGCATACCATTAAACTCTAAAGACAGTTTCAGTAAAAGCCAGGAAATTGGCTATTTCTGACTCATCCATATATTTGCGTATACTTCTTACATGTTCTCCTATTCCATTTGCTCATTTGTACAATGGGGACATCCCAAAAAAATTTGATGAGGGGCACCTGGCTGGTTCAGTCGGTAGAGCATGTGACTCTTGGTCTCAGGGTCATGAGTTCAAGCCCCACATAGGGCATGGAGCCTACTTTTATTTAAAAAAAAAAAAATCCAATGAAAAGTATGTATAATAATAATATTCTCTCTTTGTATGAGACTTGAGTCCCTAATGATGTTTAAATCCAGTGAAATTGGAGGATTTATTAAGTCCAGCTTCTTTTGCCATTTACTAAGAATCTTAATGTTTTCATCTTTAAATAGGTATCAGCATTTTTGATAATTTTGTTTTTGATAGCCATGGTGAAAATCCTATACAGCCTTTCAGTCATGAAAATATAAAATATTAGCCATTGGCTTGGCACATAGTGTTTAATGACTGTTATCTCCATATTATTCATAATTACTGTACCTGAAGAACCCAAGATTAGGCTACCTTTAGGCGTTGGCCACTAGAGAGCCTGGTTCCTGTGCTCTAGAGAGCATAATGGCCTCTTTTCTGGCCTTGGTGATCTGCCATCTTAGGAGGAGAGTTGTGGCTGCTTAGATATCCCATACTCAAGTACTGGTAGTCACACCCCCTTCTAAAAGAGCCCACATATGGTTTCACTTCTTTACTTAAGCCCCAAAATACAGTGGTAGTAATATAGACATTAGAAGAGCCGGTACAGGCATTTGTTATATCCTGTATATACTAAGAGTTTCTGGACCCTTCAGAAAAATCCTTTTCTAAAGGAGCAGGCCTGGAGAGGTCCAGATTATCCCCAAAGATCATTAAGGTGAAGTTAGTGTGGGTCCAGAATGGACCAAGCCAGAGCTTCCTAAATATTCTCTCAACACCAGTACCCATAGGATGACCAGGAACAGATCATGCCTTTTAGCTATATTGGAAGTAGGAAGGAATTTAGGGGAAGGAATGGAAACAGATTTTCCTGTGGCCATCTGAAAGGAGATGGAAAAGAGATGGAAACAGGAAAACAAGCCTTAATGAAACCAGACGATTCTCATGTAAGGAATTAAAAAGGAAAAACAAGCTCAGATATTTGAAGTTGCTTTTATTTGGCAAAACTTCATCAGTATTTAGTTGCTACTTACTAATTCAAGTCTTCTATTTGGTAAACTCCTGTAATGGCATGGTTTAGGTAAAGATATTTGCTGTAATCTCCATTTACCAGGCAAATAACACTTTTCCCTTGATTATCACCCATACAAAGAAATAGCTTTCCACTGGCATCCTATTTTATTCTTCTTATTTTGGTTTTGCTTAACCTGTGCCTCTTTGTGACTCAGCATTTCTTTTTTTCTACTCTGACCTATAGGTTTATAGAAGTGTACTGTTGAAAAGCATTCCAAGAGAAGTTGTGGCATACAATAGAAACATAAATGGTGATTTTGAAATGACAGATTGTGGTAAGTTGCCCAATTTAATATTCTATATGTAATATACCTTTTTTTTTTTTAAGATTTCATTTATTTAAATGTCAGAGAGAGAGAACGCACAGCGGCGGGGAGCTGGAGGCAGAGGGAGATGCAGGCTCCCTGCTGAGCAAGGAACCTGTTGCAGGACCAATCCTAGGACCCTGGGATCATGACCTGAGCTGAGGGTAGAGGCTTAAAGGATAAACCACCCAGGTGTCCTGTAATATACCTTTAATTACATTGTATCTGATGCAGTGGGTGTCAGGCAACATGGAATCAATGATGTAGGTGGGATGGATAATGCGTATGTAAATGCATTTGGGAAGAAACAAGTGAGATAAATATGGGTCAGTTGCCTCCCTCCAAAGAGGTTATAAATTGAAACCATTAATTTGTCACCTGTTAGTTGTGTTTTATAAGTTTCATAGTCTATTTACATACATCAATAAAACACATAAAAGGCTCTTAATAAATTTTTTAAATAAATCTGAATTATAGGGAAAGTAATCAGTGATCAGTGTCAGTGAACTGTCTGGGGTGACAATTAGGGAAATAACTTGTTCATTAATATGTATTCTGCCACCACCAGCAAAGCTGCCACCCTGTTGTTACCATCATGCTAAGACTTGAGGCACTAGTAAATTTTTTCAAAGAAAGGAAAATCAAACAGTGATTATTCATTTGATAAGTTGTGAAAATGCCTCTTCCACCCATCTTCTCCTTGTCTCAGCTTTCCATTACTTATTGTGTACGTTATTGTCACATGTACCATGATTTATCAAATTCCACAACGTGAGACATTTTCTTTTTAAGAGAGAGAACGGAGGGAGGAGCAGAGGAGAGGGACAAGCAGACCCCACACTGAGCATGAAGCCTAACACAGGGCTCAATCCCAGGACCCTGAGATCGTGACCTGAGCTGAAATCAAGAGTTCGACACTTAACTAACTGAGCCACCTGAGCACCAGTGTGAGACATTTAGATTGTTAACCATTATACATAGCTTTATGAGGAACATCACTATAGCTTAATCTTTGATCCACATCCTTATAATAAATTCTTAGAGAAAATTGGCTCTTTTTTAATCACGTAAATATCCATGATCATTATGGTGTTTACTGGGATCTGAACTTTTTAGACCTTACCAAGAAATTCTTTAGTAATAATGTCCTAGAAGAGCACCTAGCTGGTTCAGTTGGTGGAGCAAGACACTCTTGATCTTGGGGTTGTAGGTTTGAGCCCCACATTGGGTGTAGAGATAAGTAAATGAATAAATAAAAACTTTTCAATAAATAAATACATTTAATTTCCCCAACACCGTTTTAAGCATTAGGCATAGGTAATAAATGCTTACTATTTTCATCAATAAAAACCCATTTCTGACACTGAATATGTTAATTAGCACAGCATTGGCCTTTGATTGAGGTATGCCTAACAGAAACCCTTGTGGTAGCCACCTCTTGCGAATGAGCTTGCGGATTAAAACACCAATTCAGGGACACCTGGGTGGCTCAGTTGGTTAAGTGTCTGCCTTTGGCTCAGGTCATGATCCTGGGGTCCTGGGATCCCCGCATCGGGATCCTTGCTCGGCGAGGTGCCTGCTTCTCTCCTTGCCTCTGCCTGCCACTCTGCCTGCTTGTGTGTATTCTCTCTCTCTCACTGACAAATAAATGAATAAATAAAATCTTTAAAAAATAAAAATAAAAACCAATTCACTCATGGACCATGCGTTCTTCATTATTATGTTAGCAGACCACCCAAACTGGCATTTTTTTTTTTTTAAGATTTTATTTATTTGTGGGGCGCCTGGGTGGCTCAGTGGGTTAAGCCGCTGCCTTCGGCTCAGGTCGTGATCTCAGGGTCCTGGGATCGAGCCCCGCATCGGGCTCTCTGCTTAGCAGGGAGCCTGCTTCCTCCTCTCTCTCTGCCTGCCTCTCTGCCTGCTTGTGATCTCTCTCTGTCAAATAAATAAATAAAATCTTTAAAAAAAAAAAAAGGTTTTATTTATTTGACAGAGAGAAAGACAGCGAGAGTGGGAACTCAAGCGGTGGGAGAGGGAGAGAGAAAAGCAGGCCTCCCGATGAACAAGGAGCCTGATGCGGGGCTTGATCCCAGGACCCTAGGACCATGACCCGAGCTGAAGGCAGATGCTCAACTGACTGAGCCACCCAGGTGCCCCACAAACTGGCCTTATTGATTAAAAAACTTGAAAAGCTCCTGCATAGCTTAGTCAGTTGAGCGACCAACTCTTGATTTCAGCTCAGGTCATGGTCTCAGTTTCATGGGGCTGAGCCTGCCTGGGTCTCCGCAATCAGCATGTAGTCTGCTCGTCCCTCTGTCTTCCACTCTCCCCCTCCCCCACACTCGTGTGTGAGCTCTCTCTCTCACTCTCTCTCAAATAAATAAAATCTTTAAAGAAAAAGAAAACTTGAGAGACCCAGATTATAGCTTAATCTAAGTAACACATATAATACTCAAGTGTATTATAATAGTACATTGAAAACTACAATACTTCTTCAGTGCCTTGTTTTAAGGATTACAAAGAATGATGTGTGGGTGATGTTTAATACAAGATCTGCTTATAGTAAGACCTCAGTAAGTAATAGCTATTATTATTTTTTTAAGTAATATAAAATTTACTGTATTTTATTAATGAGTATGGAATTTTAAATGTTTTTTTCTTTCTTTTTTTTTTCTTAAAAGCTAATTTGTATAAGGCCATATTCTTTATTTAAAGTACGTTGTAGGGGGCACCTGGATGGCCCAGTTGGTTAAGCAGTCAACCATCTGACTCTTAATTTCAGCTCAGGTCATGATCTCAGAATTGTGAGATTGAGCCCTACCTCGGGCTCCACACTGGGCATGGAACCTGCTTAAGATACTTTCTCTCCTTTCCCCTCTCTCCCTCTCTCAGTCTCTCTCAATCTCTCAAAAATAAATAAAATACTTTAGTGGTGCTTGGCTGGCTCAGTTGGAGGAGCATATAACTCCTATCACAGGGTCCTAAGTTTGAACCCCAATTTCAGTGTAGAGATTAGTTAAATAAAACTTTCAGGGGTGTTTGGGTGGCTCAGTTATTAAGCGTCTGCCTTCGGTTTGGGTCATGATCCCCAGGATCCTGGGATTGAGTCCAGCATCAGGCTCCCTGCTCGGCGGGAAGCCTGCTTCTTCCACTCCCTCTGCTTGTGTTCCCTCTCTCATGTCTCTCTCTGTCAAATAAATAAATAAAAATCTTTTTAAAACGTTCAAAATGTTTATTTATTTGTCAATCAGGGTCACCTTGCTGGCTCAGTTGAAAGAGCCTGCAACGCTTGATCTCGGGGTTATGAGTTTGTGCCCCATGTTGGGTGTAGCGATTACTTAAATAAATTTTAAAACTTTTTAAATTTTTTAAAAATATTTATCTAATATGTATCATGTACCTCAAGTTATATTAGGTAGGGATCTCTTCTACACTCTGAGAGGAAACAGATTTGTAACAGTTATTTCACCAGGCAGGCAAACCTTTGATCTTGTCTTCCCTAGTCTTTCATAAGTTCTAGCTCCTAATTAAGACTTTAATTTGAGGGGCACCTGAGTGGCTCACTCCGTTGGGCATCTGCCTGCGGCTCAGGTCATGGTCCCGGGGTCCTGAGATCAAGTCCCATATCACCTCCCTGCTCCAAGGGGAGTCTGGTTCTCCTTCTGCCCCTCCCCCCTGGCTTGTGCTGTCCTTCTCTCTCTCTCACTTTCTCTCAGATAAATAAATAAACTTTAAAAAGAAAAAAGACTTCAATTTGAGTGTGTTAGATTTCTTTTTTTTTTTTTTTAAGATTTTATTTATTTATTTGACAGAGAGCGACACAGAGAGCTTTACCAGGGTAAAGCAGGGGAAGTAGGAGAGAGAGAGGCAGGCTTCCCACCGAGCAGGGAGCCAGCCTGATGTGGGGCTTGATCCCAGGACACTGGGGTCATGACCCAAGCCAAAGGTAGATGCGTAACAACTGAGCCACCCAGGCATCCCTTGAGTGTGTTAGATTTCTTAAGAGAGATGATAAGGTAGAGATCTTTCTCCTGCATAAAGGATAGCTGACACCTTCTTTTCTCTTTTGAAATGAAAAAATAAATAGCTAAATAAAATCATGTTAGTTAGAATCTAAAGTCCCAGAGAGGTTTTTTTTTTTTTTTTCAAAGATTCTATTTGGGGGCATCTGGTTTTGGCTCAGGTTCTGATCTTAGGGTCCTGGGATTAAGCTCCATGTCGGGCTCCCCACTCAGTGGGAAGTATGCTAGTCCCTGTCCCTCTCCCTTTGCCCCTCCCCCACCCATACTCTGTCTCTCAAATAAATAAATAAAATCTTTTTTAAAAAATGATTTTATGGGGTGCCTGGGTGGCTCAGTGGGTTCAGCCTCTGCCTTCAGCTCAGGTCATGATCTCAGGGTCCTGAGATTGAGCCCTGTATCAGGCTCTCTGCTCAGCAGGGAGGCTGCTTCCCCCTCTCTCTGCCTACCTCTCTACCTATTTGTGATCTCTCTCTGTCTAATAAATAAATAAGATCTTTTTTAAAAAAATGGTTTTGGGGCACCTGGGTGGCTCAGTGGTTAAAGCCTCTGCCTTCGGCTCAGGCCATGATCTCAGGGTCCTGGGAAAGAGTCCCGAGTCGGGCTCTCTGCTCAGCAGGGAGCCTGCCTCCTCCTGTCTCTCTCTGCCTGCCTCTCTGCCTACTTGTGATCTGTCTGTCAAATAAAAAAAAAAAATCTTTAAAAAAAAAAAATGGTTTTATTTTTGGGGCTCCTGGGTGGCTCAGTGGGTTAAGCCTCTGCCTTCAGCTCGGGTCATGATCTCAGGGTCCTAGGATCGAGCCCTGCATCAGGCTCTGTGCTCAGCAGGGAGCTTGCTCCCCCCTCTCTCTCTGCCTGCCTCTCTGCCTACTTATGATCTCTGTCTGTCTAATAAATAAAATCTTCTAAAAAAAAAAAAAAAAAGATTTTATTTTTAAGTAACCTCTACACCCAACATGGGACTCAAACCCACAACCCAGAGATCAAGGTAGCATACTCTATTGACTGAGGCAACCAGGCGCCCCACCAAGGTTGAGAGAGTTTTAAATGCTTGATTCCTTGAAAATAAATAGAGCTTCTTTTTTTTCTTTTTTTGGAGATGGCACAGAAGTGTCCATCTTTCTTTCTTATTTTTATTGTTAAGATTTTATTTATTTATTTGACAGAGAGAGATCACAAGTAGGCAGAGAGGTGGTTGGGGGTGGGTGGGAAGTAGGCTTCCTGCTGAGCAAAGAGCCCAATGAGGGACTCGATCCCAGGATCTTGAGATCTTGACCCAAGCTGAAGGCAGAGACTTCTAACCCACTGAGCCACCCAGGCACCCCATAAATAGAGCTTCTTAACCTTCTGTAAATGTTAATGACCAGAATTGGAATGACACACAAATATGAATACTATGTATAGCCTATGTGTCCAGAAATTTCTAATCCAAGAAGAATATTAATTTTAATTGTTCCATGTAGTGAGAATAACCTACAACTCCCGTTACCAAGCCAATATGCCTTGAAAATAGTGTTCATTAGGATGGTAGGAGGTGTTACAGGGAAGGGGGACTGTGCATAAAAAATTTGAGAAGCATGGAATTAAAATGAATATGTGTTTTTTTCCAACTGCAAAAATTCTCAGAGCCTTTTTTAAAATTTTATTTATTTATTTGAGAGAGAGATAGAGCACAAGCAAGGAGGATAGGGACAAGCAGGCTCTCTGCTGGAGCCCAATGTGGGGCTCGATCCCAGGACTCTGGGATCATGACCTGAGCTGAAGGCAGATGCTTAATTGACTGAGCACTCAGGCACCCCTTCTCAGAGCCTTTCATGTACTAACATGGATTCTGAATTTCCAAGAGAGGGTATAATATGCACCATTTCCTTAACTTACTTTAACCTCATAGCTTTTTCCTACCTACTAAGATCCTTCAGAATAGGGCGCCTGGGTGGTTCAGTGGGTTAAAGCCTCTGCCTTCAGCTCAGGTCATGATCCCAGGGTCCTGGGATCGAGCCCCACATCGGGTTCTCTGCTCAGCAGGGAGCCTGCTTCCTCCTCTCTCTCTGTCTGCCTCTCTGCCTACTTGTGATCTCTCTCTGTCTATCAAATAAATAAATTAAATCTTTAAAAAAAAAAAAGATCCTTCAGAATAGCAAGAGAGGCACCTGTCTGGTTCAGTTGGTAGACATGTGACCCTTGATCTTGGAGTCATGAGCTCAAGCCCTATATTGGGCATAGAGCTTACTTTAAAAAAAATAATAATTGGGTACCTGGGTGGCTCAGTCAGTTAAGCATCTGCCTTCAGCTCAGGTTATGATCCCCAGGGTCCACGGATCAAGTTCTGCATCGGGCTCCCTGCTTGGCGGGGAGCCTGCTTCTCTCTCTGCTCCTCCCCCCTGCTACTTGTGCTCTCTTTCTCTCAAATAAATAAAATCTTTAAGTAACAATAATAATAAAAATTAAATAAAATTTTAAAAAAATAGCAAGGGGGTGTCTGGCTGGCTCAGTAGAAAGAGAATGAGAGTCTTGAATTCAGGATTGTGAGTTCCAGCCCCACACTGGGTGTAGAGATTGCTAAAAATAAATAAACTAAAAAAAAAAGTGATGCCTGGGTAGCTCGGTCAGTTAAGGGTCCAACTCCTGATTTTGGCTCAGGTGGTGATCTCAAGGTGGTGAAATTGAGCCCCACATCAGGCCCCTCACTCAGCAGGGAGTCTGCTTGAGATTCTCTCCCTCTCCCTCTGCCCCTCCTGCCACTCATGTGTGAGTACACTCTCAAATAAATAAGTAAATAAATATTTTAAAACATTAATAAAATTTTTTAAAAATACCAAGAGTAGTGGCGCCTGGGTGGCCCAGTGGGTTTAAGCCTCTGCCTTCGGCTCAGGTCATGATCCCAGGGTCCTGGGATCAAGCCCCACATCAGGCTCTCTGCTCAGCAGGGAGCCTGTTTCCCCCTCTCTCTGTCTCTGCCTGCCTCTCTGCCTACTTGTCTGTCAAATAAATAAAATCTTTAAAATTAAAAAAAAAAAATTTTTTTTTAATACCAAGAGTGAAAAAAAGACATCCAAATTGTGACTGAGATCCCTATAGTTCCCTGGGACTGTTTGGCCCTTGGACTATGTTTGAGTTTTCTGGTTTTCCTAGGACAGAAGGATGTTTTGTTTTTTTTTGTTGTTGTTTTTTTTTTTTTTTTTTTTTTTTTTTTAAGATTTATTTATTTATTTATTTGACAGACAGAGATTACAAGTAGGCAGAGAGGCAGGCAGGGAGAGAGAGGAGGAAGCAGGCTCCCTGCTGAGCAGAGAGCCCAATGCAGGGCTCTATCCCAGGACCCTGGGATCATGACCTGAGCCGAAGGCAGAGGCTTTAACCCACTGAGCCACCCAGGTGCCCTGGATGCTTTTATCCTTGTTTGCAGTGTTTGTAGGCCAATGTATTGAGAATGAGAATTTTTTTTCATACGCTGAATTTTTTTTTTTTTTTAAGATTTTATTTATTTGAGAAAGAACATGGGGAGGGAGAGGGACAGAGGGCAAAGCTGATTCCCCACTGAACAGGGAGCCTCATGCAAGACTTGATCCCAAGACCCCAGGAACATGACCGGAACCAAAAGTAGACGCTCAACCAACAGCCACCTGCCCCTGTGCTGAATTATTTTTAACTGCCAGGGGTTTTCTTAGCTCCTGTAAGCAGATGATTCTTACATGTTCAAGTAGACAATGGTTTGTAATACTCTTCCCAAAGAAAGAGTAAGGTAAAGTTTCTCATGGTGCAGTAAGCTATCCCAGAGCAACACACTAAATAGGACAGCACCTCAACACAAGCTATCATTTTATAACTGAGGACACTAACTATAAACTGAGCACCAAGGTTTCTGCTGCGCTTGGGGAAAATAAGACTCTTAGAACACTTAATCACCTGCCTTGTATTTGCAGAAAAATAAACACAAGCAATTTATCTTGCTTCTTCCTTCACCTATGAGGGTATGCTTTACCTTTTTAGAGTCTGTCCACCTTCCTCAAAGAGCCATTATGAATATCTGCAGGCCTTTTGTTACCCGAAGCTCATGATCTGCCACAGCCATCCATACTCTGGAGCTCAGTTTAGCTAAATCCCAGTCCAGAGCTAGTGCCCCTCTGGCCACCAGTGACAGTGAGCTCAAAAATGTTGTGAAAACCTCTCTTGCTATAGTAATATCTAGAGGAAAATATAGTAGCATAAGTTTACATATTTACATTTCTCAGGATTCCAATTTAATTTATATATTACATAAATAGCTTTCTGAACTTTTTCTAAAAACATTAATTGCTTTACATCAAGATTTGTGTTAACTTGATTTTTTTTTTATGCTGTGGAGAGAGTTGTAATTCACGTCACCACTTTATATATTAAAGTGCATCTATCATAACACTGAATTCTTTCAACAGACTTGGAAGATGCTACAAAAACACCTGACTGTTCCAGTGGACCAGTGAAAGAGGAAAGAGGTGATCTTATCAAATTTTACAATACAATATATGTAGGAAGAGTGAAGTCATTTGCACTGAAATACGACTTGTCAAATCAGGACCATGTGGTACGTTTTATATTTTACTGCATGAATATTTATAGTCCTAGTTGGAGTACTGTGAGTTTACTAAATAAGTGTTTCAGAGGCAAAGTGCCACTGACACATTATGTAAGAGGAAAAAAAGCTAGTAATTAGAGTGTTTAAGGAATTGATACAACACAGACCAGAGGAAATCATGGAAATGTTATCCATACTGTGATTATGTTGCTGGAAATTATGTTAACATATGGGCAAGTACTAGATGAGAATATGGAAAAATGAAATCAGTTCTGATCATTTTTTCTCTTTGTTTTGATTTATCTTGTTATATTTATATATGAGATAACTGTTTTTCTCAAGATAAAGAAAAAGGGAAATAAATAGACCTGAATCATTAATAGAGGCAACACTAAGACATTTTTATGGAGATTAGGAAGTACCAGAAAGTCTGTGAAAGTATCACCAGTGTATAAACTGAGGTTGGTTCCCACGAGACTAGACATGAGTTGTAGAGGGACCTAGAAGAAACTGCATCTAGCCAGTAGCCATATAAGTGTATTTGTATCTCTTGTCCTTGTCCCTCACTGCCCTTGTCCCTTTCAGGGAGTATAGTCTGTGACTGTTCTCAGAGGTTTTGACTGTTCATTCAGTTCTATCAGTTCCATCTCCCCTGCCATGAGTATGATTATCATTAGCCAATTGGAACTACTTTTATTAGGGGCACCCAGATGACTCATTTAAGTTTCTCTTGATTTCAGCTCAGGTCTTGATCTCCGGGCTGTGAGTTCAAGTCCCACGCTGGGCTCCAGGCTGGGCATGGAGCCTGCTTTAAAAAAAAAAAAAAAAAAAAAGAATTTTATTAGCTTCAAGTAAGGATGATGAATGAAATTATTAATTAAGGAGCCATCTCCTTTTATTCCAGAATGGAAACATTATACAGAATATTAAAGTCAAGTGTAGTACCTGCTCCTCTATTTCTAAATCATTTGCATCTCAATATAAAGTCCTAACCCTTTCCCTAACAGATTTATTTCATGTTGGAACTCATCCTCCTGGCTCAGAGAGTTCTGTCTCTTTTTGATTCCCTCTGCTACTATTTTGGTTTGTGTGTGTGTGTGTGTGTGTGTGTGTAGAGAAAGAGATTATTTTTGTGTTAGGACATCAATTACTTTGCCTCTACTTTCTGTTCATGATCAAGAAGTTCCTGTGCTGCTGGCTTACCACTTCTGGGTATCTCAGAATTCTTCAGGATTCCTAAAATATTCAGGAAAATAAATTTTAGTTTATCTGTTAGTAATAGTTGAAAAACAAGGGGGTAATGGACCATGTCTTTGCTTTTTTCAGCCCTAAATAAACTCTTACAGTATTGCTGACACTTAACTAAGAAATTTCTTTTTTTTTTTTTTTTTAAGATTTTATTTATTTGTCAGATAGAGTGAGCACAGGCAGACAGAGAGGCAGGCAGAGGCAGAGGGAGAAGCAGGCTCCCTGCTGAGCAAGGAGCCTGACGTGGGACTCGATCCCAGGACGCCAGGATCATGACCTGAGCTGAAGGCAGCTGCTTAACCAACTGAGCCACCCAGGCGTCCCAGAAATTTCAATAAGAATAAAAGTATGGAGGGCACCTGGTTGGCTCAGTGGGTTAAGCATCCACTCAGGCCATGATCCGGGAGTCCCAGGATCAAGCCCTGCCTCAGGCTCCCTGCTCAGTGGGGAGTCTGCTCCTACCTCTGCCCCTCACCCCACCCATGAGCACCCTCACCCTCTCTCTCTCTCTCCCTTTCATTCAAATAGACAAAGTCTTAAAAAAAAAAAAAAAGACATACCATTTTAAAAAAAGATTAAAAATATGGGGGTGCCTGGCTGGCTCATTTAGTAGAGGATGCAACTCTTGATTTTGGGTTCGTGAGTTCAGGCTCTCTGCTGGGCATGAAACCTACTTTAAAAAAGAAGGAGAAGGACAAGAAAACACATACAAAGTGGTGGAATTCAAAAAAAGAAACTTATCTTACAAAAATTTACTTTTGATTATTTCAGATGGAAGCTCCACCTCTCTCTCCTTTTCCACGTATTAAGCAACAACCAGGCTCACCACGACGTATTTCCCAGCAACACTCCGTTTATGTTTCCCCACATAAGAATGGGTCAGGCCTTATACCAAGGAGTGCTCTGCTATATAGGTTCAATGGCAGCCCTTCTAAGGTACGGTACACACACACTTACTCTGAAACAACCTATGTTCGTGTGTTAAAAATTGGATTTCAGATTACCAGTTAGTAATCTTTAATCTTGCTCTTTGTCTGCAAAGTTACCACTAATAAATATAATAAGATCAATTTTTTTTTTTTAGATTTTATTTATTTATTTATTTGACACAGACAGAGAGACACAGTGAGAGCAGGAACACAAGCAGGGAGAGTGGGAAAGGGAGAAGCAGGCTTCCCGCCAAGCAGGGAGCCCGATGTAGGTCTCGATCCCAGAACCCTGGGACCATGCCCTGAGCCGAAGGCAGACGCTCAACCACTAAGCTACCCAGGCGTCCCAAGGTCAATCCAATCTTCAAAGCCATGAGAAGATGAGTTCTAATCATCCTTATTAGGTTAGTCTAGATTCAAAAAATAATCTCTGGGGCACCTGGCTAGCTCAGTCAATGGAGCCTGTGACTCTTGATCTTGGGTTGTAAGTTTGAATTCCATGTTGGGTGTAGAAATTACTTAAAAAGTTAAGAAAAGGGGCACCTGGGTGGTTCAGTGGGTTAAGCCTCTGCCTTCGACTCAGGTCATGATCTCAGGGTCCTGGGATCAAGCCCCGCATCGGGCTCTCTGCTCAGCGGGGAGCCTGCTTCCCCCCCTCTCTCTGCCTGCCTCTCTCCCTACTTGTGATCTCTGTCTGTCAAATAAATAAATAAATAAATCTTTAAAAAAATAATAATAATCTCTACCCTACTGTTGAGCTTTGGATAGAGTACTGGAGAAAACGTTAGCTTATTAGTCCCTTGCTGTTATTTCCTCTTTTTTCTCACACATGTCCTCTATTTTGCAGAGTTTGAAAGATATCAACAATATGATAAGGCAGGGTGAACAGAGAACCAAGAAGCGAGCAATAGCCATCGATGGTGATGCAGAATCACCTGCCAAACGCCTCTGTCAAGAAAATGATGATGTTTTGCTTAAACGACTACAGGATGTTGTCAGTGAGAGAGCAAATCATTAATGCCCTTTCTATTTCTATGATAAAAGCACTTTCAGGTGGCAGAGTGTTAAGGGCTCTATACTTCAAAACTTTCAGCCCTGTAGATGGACAGTATCGAGTTACACAAAAAATTGCACCAAAATTATGTGCTTTTTTTTTTTTTAACATTTATCCAAAATATAGTTAACAGTGTATTTTGAGTTGGACTGGAAAGCAATATTTCAAGTGCCTTTTAAACATTTTAGTAGTTAAAGAATTTTTTAAATGTCTATTCCTTGGTTTAGTTTTTAAGATGAAATCAGGAGATAACTCATAATTTTTTAGCTCATTTTTTAAAATAAATGTCTCCTCCTTCTGTGCTTTGTAATATGAAGGTAAATAATCTGTTTTTAATAAGCATGCTTTGAGATATCTCTGTTCTAAATTTAATATTGAGTAGAGGGGCACCTGGCTGGTAGAACATGAGACTCTTGATCTCAGGGTCATGAGTTTGAGCCCCATGTTGGGCATAGAGATTACTTTAAAAAAAAAAAAAAAAAAATATATATATATATATATAGAGAGAGAGAGAGAGAGAGAGAGAGAGAGAGAAGGGTTTGGTTCCCAAAGCACCTGGGCCAAGGGATGATGCACTAGTCTACCTCTGACCCACTGTGGCAACTCCACATCCAGGTGCTACTGCCATTCTGGATTGTCTACTTCCCTTCTCATGCCCTTTCTCTCTTTGAGCATAAGCAGATTTGTACCTGAGCCCATGCATTACTATGCTTCTTGCCTTCTAACCCTAAGCCCTCTTAGTTGATGTCACAGCCTAATAAAAGGGGTACTTGGGTACAGCTCTCCAAAGAATCAGCTGTTCAGTATTCACTTTTTCTAATGTGTTTCCAGAATCTGGAAGGACATGGATAAACCATTCTTAATTAATTTTGAGAAAGTTATGAAATGTATGTTTTTTAAACTGCAAACCTTATTTTTTTAAATACAAAATGTTTAACTTAACTTATATCTAACCCTGGCTAATTCGAGTTAGTCTAAGATTTGGCTGTAAATTTGTAATTGCTATTGTCAGGAATTTTATTTTTAAATTTTAAGAAAAGTGATTTTGGTAATACATTACTTTTCTGAAAATTACATCCTCATTTTTTGTGTAGTATCTACACATGTTGTAAGCCAAATAACATCAAATTTGTCTAAAGTCCTTGTATATATTTTTATGTAGCTGTAACTATTATGTCATTTTCATCCTCCTTATTAATGTGGAAAATATACATGAGCATTGTACATTGACTATGTAAGAAGCTCTGGATATGTTTTTATCAATTTTTAAGACAGTATCCGTGTACATAAAATAGCTAATAAAACGGAGTTTTTGAGATATTGAAAGACACTGTATTTGTGTTGTTTTTGCATGACTAGAAGCAATTCTGCAGCCATCTACAACCTACACCTTCTTAAATACCTGCTTTATGTCTTTTAAATACCTTAGTGTAACTTCAAAGTTAATGTTCTGGTAGTTTCCAGGGGCTAGGAAGAGATTGGGGAGTGGCTGCTTGAATATGAGGTATTTTTTTGAGGAGATGAAAACGTTTTAGAACTTGATCTAGAAGGTGGTTGTATAGTGTGAATTTACTAAGTGACACTTTAAATTTTGTTTTTTAAAGATTTTATTTATTTATTTGACAAAGAGAGATCACAAGTAGGCAGAGAGGCGGGTGGGGCCCGGGGTGGGGAAGGGGGTGTGGGGAGCAGGCTCTCCACTGAACAGAGAGCCTGATGCGGGGCTCAATCCCAGGACTCTGAGATCATGACCTGAGCCGAAGGCAGAGGGTTAACCCACTGAGCCACCCAGGCACCCCACTAAGTGACACTTTAAAATGATTATTTTAAAAAGTAAAATGAGGGGCTGGCCCTGCTTAGGATTTTCAGGAAACGGAATCGGCGGCAACAGTTGGAGTTTAAGCACTTTTGTGACAGTCTCTGGATCCCTGTGAGAGGAAAGGGGAGGATGCCACTGGAATCATCTTCCTCTTTGATCCCACTATCCTTCCTTTCTCCCTTTCCCTCTGTACCAGAGAGTACCAGAGAGTATTACTAACTCTTCCCGTCCCCCAATGTCTTACATCACTTCCCAGGAGATGAAGTGTATTCTGCACTGGTTTGCCAGTTGGTTAGGTCCCCGGCATGAAGGTTTCCTACAGGACCTGGTAGCTAAGGCAGTGCCAGGAAAATTACAGCCACTGCTGGAAGGGCTGGAGCAGCTTAATGTGTTTGGAGCAAACCGACTACCTCATATCTTTGAGTGCCGGGTACGTCTTTGGGATCAGTGGTTTCGAGGTTGGGCTGGGCAGGAGCGCAATGAATTTGTCAGGCAGCTGGAGGTCAGACTTTATGGCAGTTTTAGCAGGCAGTGGCTGCTATAGCTGGTAAAGACTGATGGGCATTAAAATCAAAGAAGATAATCACAGCTGATGGAGCCCCAACTTTACTGTGAGAACTTCAGATGTGTCACTTACAGTTCTAATATTATCTATATATTATCCTGATCGGCTCACCGGACTTGTTGACGAGTACAGGCTTGATTATATCTTTGGGGGTGGGGAGGGGCAAAGGGAGAGAGAGAATCTTAAGCAGGCTCCATGCCCAGTGCCAAGCCCAAAGCGGGGCTCAATCTCACAACCCTGAGATCATGACCTGAGCCAACATCAAGAGTTGGACGCTTGGCTGACTGAGCCACCCAGGTGCCCCAAGCCTTGGTATTTTCCAATGTTAACGGCCTATCAACTGGACTGCTTACATAAATTTTTTCCATCTAAGTAAAACCAGATCAGCAGTCAACCCCTCAAGAATTTCATGACTTCTTTTACAAGTATAACCAGAAGGAACCTACATATTATAATTCAAGTGTATTGCTGACCCATGGGCTATAAAGTAAAGCCTTCCTACTCTAGAAACAGGAGAGAAGGACAATAAAAGATCATGTTTTTGTAGTTTAACTGGATTCACATGGCTGGCTTCACTGCCCTTACCAGAGTCTGGCATAATTATGTGACATCCTAACTTAGCTTTCCTAGTCATGATTTTACAAAATGACAAAATAATCAGGAGAGTAGTTAGTTATACCTTCCATACTGATGTTTGTTTGAATCCAAATAGCAATGAGTTTTCCTAAAGCGTATGTGATATTCTTGGAGCTGGTAACAGATTCCTATTCTGTAAGTTTGCTCTGTGATATGAAAATAAGTGATACTCTGTAGTTTGAAGGGTTTATTTCTTGTATCAAAATAATGAGTCGTCAAAAAAATTAGAATGATTGTTTTTATGTTTGATGAATTTCACCTCAATTCAAAAAATGCCTTAGACACAAAAAGAAACAGGACGACTTGAAGTCCTTGGAATGAAATTGTGAAGCAAATTATGATACTGAATTAAGGAAAGCACTCTTAGGAGTCCATTCAGACATTTCTCCAGATGAGACTCACAGTTTAAAGTTCTTTCCTAATTAAGAATATTTTTTCAAAGATTTATTTATTTATTTATTTGACAGAGAGAGACAGCAAGAGAGGGAACACAAACAGGTGGCGTGGGAGAGGGAGAAGCAGGCCTCTTGCTGAGCAGGGAGCCCAATGCAGGGCTCAATCCCAGGACCTGGGACCATGACCCAAGCCAAAGGCAGATGCTCAATGACTAAGCCGCCGAGGCACCCCTCCTAATTAAGATTTTTATGTGGTTACATTAAATCAGATTTTTTTAAAGAAGATAATATTCCTGGGGCGCCTGGGTGGCTCAATGGTTTAAAGCCTCTGCCTTCAGCTCGGGTCATGATCTCAGGGTCCTGGGATCGAGCCCCGCATCAGGTCTGCTCGGCGGCGAGCCTGCTTCCCCCTCTCTCTCTGCCTGCCTCTCTGCCTACTTGTGATCTCTGTCAAATAAATAAATAAAAATCTTAAAAAAAAAAAAAAAAAGGAGATAATATTCCTGGGTGGCTCGGTCATTTTAGCGTCTGCCTTCAGCTCAGATCATGATCCCAGAGTTGAGGCCCATGTTGGGCTCCCTGTTCATCAGCGGAGCCCACTTCTCCCTCTCCTTCTGCCCCTCACTCACTCTGTTTCTCAAATAAAATCTTTTTTAAAAAAATAATATTCCTGGGGCGCCTCAGTGGCTCAGTGGGTTAAAGCGTCTGCCTTCGGCTTGGGTCATGATCCCAGGATCCTGGGATCGAGCCCCGCATCGGGCTCTCTGCTCAGCATGGAGCCTGCTTCCCTTCCTCTCTCTCTGCCTACTTGTGATCCCTGTCTGTCAAATAAATAAATAAAATCTTAAAATAATAATAATATTCCTGCTTGTTTTTATTTTCTTTTTTTCCTCTTCTTTTATAGTACTTTTGCTAAGTGAAAAACATGAGCAGCTGCTTGCTATATTCCTGGCCCTTAACTGGGTGCAAGGGTTATAAAAATAAACCAGCCATAGTTCCTGTGGTCGAGATATTGTAACCCATTACTACAGTTGTTCCTTGAAAGTACCAGGGATCTCCATACACACATGCCTCACAGCCCACTGTTTAAGATCCATGTATAATTTTTTACTCCCAAATATTTAATTACTAATAGCATACTTTTGACTGGAAGCCTTACCAATATCCTAAACAGTTGATTAACACTTACTTTGTATGCTGTATGTATTATACACCATATTCTTACAATTAAAAATATGTTTTGGGGCACCTGGGTGGCTCAGGTCATGATCCCAGGGTCCTGGGATCGAGCCCCACATCGGGCTCTCTGCTCTGCAGGGAGCCTGCTTACTCCTCTCTCTCTTCCTGTCTCTCTGCCTACTTGTGATCTCTGTCTGTCAAATAAATAAATAAATAAATCTTTTAAAAAAAAATATATATATATATGTTTTAAATGTTAAGAAAATGATAAGGAAAATACATTTATAGTACTACACTATTATCAGGAAGAATCTGCAAGTTAAGTGGACCCATACAGTTCAAAACCATGTTGTTCAAGAGTCAACTGTAGAATAAGTATAGTAATAGAGCTCTACACAGAGGGATGGTGTTGGGACACCAGGGTGGCTCAGTCGGTTGGTTGTGTCTTTTTTTTTTTTTTTAACGATTTTATTTATTTATTTGACCGAGAGATCATAAGTAGGCAGAGAGGCAGGCAGAGAGAGAGAGAGAGGAGGAAGCAGGCTCCCTGCCGAGCAGAGAGCCCGACGCGGGGCTCGGTCCCAAGACCCTGAGATCATGACCCGAGCTGAAGGCAGAGGCTTAACCCACTGAGCCACCCAGGCGCGCCTGGTTGAGTGTGTCTTATTCTTGGTTTCCGTTGAGGTCATGATCTCTGGGTTGTGAGATCCAGCCTCACGTCGCACTCCACAATTAGCGGGGAGTCTGCTTGAGATTCGAATCCTCCCTTCTGGTTCTCCCTCTCTCTCTCTCTCAAATAAATAAATCTTCCAAGAAGGATAGTATTAGCATA